AAGCTTGCTCGTGGTCGTAAGATTCGCCGTCGTCGCGGGGGAGGTCATTTTCCCGCTGCTGTTGGGCAAGATAGATAATTTTGGAGGTTTCTTTCCCCCAGATTTCTTTCCCCATTCCATGACAGAGGAACTTTCAGTGCGTTTGCAAGAGGATTGCAATACCTATCGGCATTCTATTCGCCGAAAGCGTTGCTCACAATCTTTGTGAGGATGGAGCTCCTGAGGATGGAGTTTCTGAGGGCCTTCGTTGGGCCTGAGCTTCAATAGTCTTTCTGAGGATGGAATTCTTGAGGGTCGAGTTTCTGATAATCGAGTTTCTGAGATGCGATGTTCTGTCAGAGCGCTTCTGAGGCATAAGTACGTGTAGTCGTCGCAGTCGTAATCGTAGCTGTCGGCGTCCTTGTTGCGCGGCGGGCGCCGCGGGGAGAAACAACACATTTTCGCCATTGGTGGACCGCCAGTCCGTAAATAAGGCCTCCGGAAAGTAGTGAAGTATACCCTTATTCGGGGTGTTCTAAAGACCTACCGCGGGTGAGGCCAACGCAGATGCCGATGCCGGTGACCACGATGACGATGATGATGTCCTTGTGTCTGTGTTAAACGTGAGGGTGATGGAGATACGCGCGAAGAGATTCAAAAACGTTGCAAAGTGCTTGTGGACATGTTGTGTTCCACCTGTTTCTGAGGAGGTGTATCTTTCGGGGGCGCGCAAACATGGATTAGCGATCCATGGATTTGGCGACCGGATCGGGGGAGGTGCTCTTCCCAAAGTGCGGCCGGTGCCGCTTCGCTCGGCGGCGGGAAGCCGCGATTTCGCATGGAAACGGGACCCGTCGCTGATCCAAGCCCCCTGCTCCTCAACCTCCTCCTCCTCCTCCTGCTCCTACCCCTCCTCCTCCTCCTCCTGAGTCTTGACGTGCTTCGAGGGACAGATATGTGTTGGAAGGATCTCGGCGCGCTCGCGCGGCGGTGCGCGCACGTGGCCCACGCCGTGGTGGTCTCCGGTGCCGCAGCGTGCAGGGGGCGCATGCTGGATCAAGGCGGATGCGCCGTGGGGTGGAGTACACATCTCCTCCTCCTCCTCCTCCTCCTCCTGCCCCTCCCCCTCCTCCTCTTCCTCCTCCTCCTCCTCCTCCTCCTCCTCCTCCTCCTCCCCCTCCTGCGCCTCCCTCCTCCTCCCCCTCCTCCTCATCCTCCTCCTGCCCCTCCCCCTCCTCCCCTCCCCCTCCTCCTCTCCCTCTCCTCCTCCTCCTCCTCCTCCTCCTCCTCCTCCTCCTCCTCCTCCTCCTCCTCCCCTCCTCCTGCCCCTCCCCCTCCTCCTCTTCCTCCTCCTCCTCCTCCTGCCCCTCCCCCTCCCCCTCCTGCCCCTCCCCCTCCTCCTCTTTCCTCCTCCTCCTCCTCCCCCTCCTCCTCCTCCTCCTCCTCCTCCTCCTCCTCCTCCTCCTCCCCTCCTCCTCCTCCTCCTCCCTCCTGCCCTCACCCTCCTCCTCTTCTCCTCCTCCTCCTCCTCCTGCCTCCCCTCCTGCCTCCTCCTCCTCCTCTCCTCCTCCTCCTCCTCCTCCTCCTCCTCCTCCTCCTCCTCCTCCTCCTCCTCCTCCTCTCCTCCTCCTCCTGCCCCTCACCCTCCTCCTCTTCTCCTCCTCTCCCCCTCCCCCTCCTCCTCCTCTTCCTCCTCCTCCCTTTCCTCCTCCTCCTCCGCCTCCTCCTGCTCCTCCTCCTGTGCGGGTTCTTAGCGAGGTTGTAAAAGAAATCGGTGCTCCATTTCATGCGAGCGATTCGTGCTCTGGGTTTCGTAATACGCGTCGGGGGGGACCCCCCCCGACGGCGCTCAACCTCGCCTCAACCTCGGAGCGCCTTCGGCGCGCGGTGGCTGCCCGCGACGGGGGGCGATGTGGGGCTGCGGGCGGGGGCGACGCTCCCCCCCCAACCCCACGCTTGTTACGAAACTACTCGGAGTAGGTGCGCGGGCAAGTTCCAACCATGAGCCAGGCACCTGGTGAGATCTCAGCGGACACACCCAGCGCACGGGGTATCCCACGAGGCGTCCACGACGTGCCACCAAGCAAACACCAGGCGACACCTCGGCGGACCCACCCGGCGCCGCCCACGACCGGCCAGGAACTGGGCGCCAGGCGAAGCCCTGGCGGACACATCCAGCCCACGGGGCGCCCACGACCAGCCATTCACCTGGCACCAGGGGGGCCCAGGCGGATTGATCCAATTCTACGAATTGGATCAATCCTATTCTTTTCGGGGGAGCGCAAGACCCGGGTTTGCCAGGACTCGGGTTCCCCATCGTTTTTTGACGACCGCGCCTCGGATTTTGACGAGGAGGAGTTTCGTGGGATGTCTGCAGCGGGAGGCGTCAAAATGCAGGCTCGGCCTCGTCATTTCTGTTGACGACCTCGTCGGGGATTTCCGAGTCCCCTGTACCCAGGTCGTACGTCCCCCTGATCTTTGTTCCACCTCAGAGAGTCTTTGAGGCAGAACAAGGAATATAATCCATGAGTCCAAGCGTAGATCGTGGGCGAGCCTACGAACGCATGTCTGCGGACCGCGCGGGTTGCTTGGGTCGGCGATGGGCTCCTCTGGCAGCCGCCCCCGACGCATTCCGCGTGCCATGCAGGGGGGCCCGGCGCCGATCCAAAAAGCCAGCATTGGGCGCCGCGTAATGGGGGGGTCATGGGGGGGTGGCGAGGGTGGTTCGAACAGTTACCCAAACGGTACCTAAACGAGCCCCCTGGGGCTCTGGAGGGGCCCGAAAGGGGCACGAAAGGGAACCTTTTCTGACCCCCCCATTTGTGACCCCCCCATTAAGCCACGCCCAACAGCGTGGACTTCCGAAAGTTGTTGTGAGGGTTGAATGCTTATTCTTTTGAATGTCAGGAGGGATGCGGGGGTGAGGTCGGCCCAGAGCTCTGCGAGCTGTTGAGGGTACTTGCAGCTTTGCGCCTCAAGGTGGTCAATTCGGCTTTGCTGTCTCACTGTCGCGGTCTTTCAGGGTCTGCGATCTGTCTGACACGCACACGGCGGAAGCCAACTGTTTTCGGTTTGCGTTTTGGTGTTCCTAGGAGCTGTTTCTGTGAGGATTCCCTAGTGCAGCTCACACCAATTGGGCGGCGTTCCGTTTGAAAGGACCTGTCTTTGGACATCACGGAGGTGACGGACAGCGTGGAGGAGTTTCCAAGCCATGCTCTCTTGGTTTGGCAATCGGATAAGTGGGACGGATGTCGATCTGGTTGTGATTCGTTTGCGTATCCCCTGGAGCACCAGCCTTGTAAAGGAGTGAGATGACAGAGTACAAGGGATATTCTGGGCCAGAAGTCTTACTATTGTGTAGGATCCGAAGACGGGGATGGTTCACAATTCGTACGGATATTCCCACTCCCCCTGATCCTTCTTTTTGTGTTTCTTCCCATCTCGATGTGCTGTTGGTGGACTAGTCTCTTTTCGTCCGTTCTCATGGTGTCCCCATGCTCGGCTATTGCATGGTCGCCGGGCGCATGTGATGATTCAGAAACGTATGCCTTGGCTGGATCACCACCCGATGAGTTGGCTTCTGTTACGTTCCTTCGGGGGCAGTGCCCGCTTTGTGAAAACATGTTGCTGTGTCGGTGAAGCTCTTGTTGCGCAGCGTCCATCGACAAATGCAACATATTGTTGTGATTGGATGTTTGATCTTCGTACCATGTCGCCAGCTCATGTTGGACTCACTATGCATGCGTCAATCCCCTGTAGAAATTCATTGTGTAGCTCACTGCAGGAAGCACTACGCCTCTACACGGCGCCAGAACGGTTGGACAAGAAGAACGGTTGGAGGTGCGCGCATTAGCGATGCGGGCGGACATGCAGAACAATTTGAAGGGCGATGAGGGCAGAAGATCAGGGACATAGTGAAAACATCGAGATGGATCTTCAAGGCTTAGCCTCAGCCGACGATTCCCATGGCAGATGGCCGTAGGTATGTACGGATGGATGTAAGGGCGGACGGGTGGACCCACAGATGAATCCATGGGTGGATTTGTGTAGGACCATCGGCGATTGTTGGTCTCAGGCTGGGACGTGGTTGCGAGGCTGGGACGTGGCCGGGCCACTGTCAATGCAAGGACATCGTGCCGAGTTTTAGTAGTTCTGAAGCAGGTGCATAGTTGGCGCATGTTGCTATCTTGAATAGCGTCACTCATGGGCGGCAAACCACGTCTTGTTCATGAGCGATCCGCGTGCTCCCATTGCGAAATGGTGCCCGTGCTTCTCCGTGTGTCGCATATGTGTAGGTCAGTCAAGCTTCGGGCGCCTGAGACTCATGCGTAGCATTGTAGATTCGTTGCTCTCTGGGTGCATGGCATGCAGGTTTTGTAGTTCCGAGGTTCTCTCAGATCCGCTACTTTTCCTGTACAGTCCCTGTCAGTTCACAGCAGAAGCTCGCTTTCCTGGTGCGCGCATGCGAGTTCGATCGAGAATTTCACTCGAACCGTATTATCGTTGCCACACCCAGCCGAACACGCACATGCAAACGTACTGCGTTGCGTTGCGGAGTGAGGGGGAGGTCCTCCAGCGGTGTGCTTCATCATGCGTAGCGAAATTGCGAGTTGGAGAGCCGTCGCCGGGTTCAACAGTGGGTTGTCTTGCTTTGTTGTTGTTCATTGGGTTGGGACGGGGCATCGAGTTGACATCGCACGGCCAGGTGATGAAAACCAGTCACTTTGTGCGGTAAGTGTCCTGCTAGGGGGCCACATGCGAACCCTACCCCTACCCCCCAAGATTTCTGAGGGGGAGGGTGGGGTTCACTTCGCTCGGGAGCTCCCGAAAGAAGTGAACCCCACCCTCCCCCTCAGAAATCTTGGGGGGTAGGGGTAGGGTTCGCATGTGGCCCCCTACCTGCCCCCCGCGGGACAAGTTGCATCCACTCGGTTACAGGAGGAGCCGACGTGCGCTTGTGCGCCAACTTGTATACACATAGTGAGACACGTCCAGCCTGAATGTGGGACTACTGTTCGGACTTGGTGTGGTTTGCTGAACAGCAATGCCTGAACAACATGTAGGGCCCGAGGATGCAGCCAGACATCGGTGGGCCCGAAGGGCCGCCAGGCGTTAGGCCTTAGAAGCGTTGACGTATCAATGCCGACTTGTTCTCACAGTACGCAGCGGGTCGATGTTGAGCGAGCAAGGTATAGCTCGAGTGTGTGGTTCCTGTCCGTAGTTTGGCTCAAGCGCGCCCTTGGCTCAGGTGCGGCGTTCGGGCCGCGGCATGATGTAGACCGCCGCGGCGCGGCGGCGGCGGCATGCCCGTGCTGCTGCTGGCCGCCGCTTGGCTGCCGCCGCCGCCGGCGCCCTGGTCGTCGCGGGCCCGCCGGGGCTCTCTGACGTGCGGCTGGTGCTGCTGGCGCGACGGGCGTGGCCGCTCTCGGCGGCGCGCCTGCTGCTGCGAACGCTTCTGGCGCGGCTGGCGCCGCCGCTTCGGTCCTCGCTGCTGACGCCCCCCTGGGCGGTCGGAGCGGGCTGGGCTGCACGCGCTCTCGCCCCCGCGGGCGCCCCGGGCGCTGCTTCCGGGCATGTCAGCGCCGCCCGCGTGCGCCGTCATGGTGGCGCCGCTGGCGCCGCCAACGCGGTCCAGGCTGCCGCTGCTGCTGCCGCTGGCACCCCGGCGGCGGCGACCCCAGCAGGAGGTGGCCCCCTGCCTGCGGCTGGTGCGCCGCTGCTGCCTGGGCCCTGCCGGCGGCGGGCGCCGACGGCGGCGGCGGCGGCTTTGGGCCGCCCCGCGCGCTCGCCGCGGCTGCCGCGGCAACCGCCGCCGCGGCCGTTTCGCGCGGGCCCCCGACGGAGGCCGCCCTGGCTGGCCTTGCGGCCGTCTCTGGCTGGCTGGCGCGGGCGAGGGCCAGGCTGCCCTAGCCGCGGCTTCCACTGCCGCCGCCGCAGCCGCTGCCGCTGCTGGCGCCTTGCCCGCGGCGGCGGCGGCGAACGGCGCGCGGGTCGGCCTGTTGGCCCCGGCAGTGGCCTACGTGGTCGTCACCGCGTTTGGCGGTTTACTTGGGTAGGCAGGCGGGGAGACTCAGCGGCGCCGGGGTGTTGCCGGGAGACGGCGGGGTCAGAAACCAGAGCGCCCAAGACGAGTCAGCACCTGGACAGCGTTCCCATCCCGATGTGGCCCCCGTCTGGCCGCGCCGAGGGCCAGGTGGTCCTTTTATTTTCTCGCGGCTGCCACGGTCGACCCAAGTGCCGCTGCTCGTCCTGGAGAGACCTCGTCGGCGCGGCCCGATTTTCAGGGGGTCAGCGGGCCCCAGAGAAAGAGAAATATTGAGAGAAGGAGAGGGAGAGAGAGAGAGAGAGAGAGAGAGAGAGCGAGAGAGAGAGAGAGATATAGCGACAATTTTGCACAAGGAACTGCCGCGATCAGCGGCGGGCCCGAGGCTCGCGTCACGGAGGCGGGGCACCCGCCGAAGGCCTCGCCATTCCAGCTCTGCCCAGGACCGGGGGCGAGCGCGGGCCCCGCCGTCGAACCTAGCGTCGCCGCTCCGCCGCGACCAGATTCTCAGGGGGTCAGAGTATTCCCCCGTCGTGGCCCGCAGCCTTCACGCCTCCAGGAGCCCCAGCGGCCCCCGCCCAGGGGCTGCTGCGGGCCCCGTGGGGGGAGCGACAACTTCGCCAAAGGATTCGCCACGATCGGCGGCGAGTCTGAGCAGGAACGGGGGTTCGTGCCACAGAGGAGGCTGGGGGGCCCGCCGACGGCCTCTCCACTCCAGGTCTGCCTGGGACTGGCGCGAGCGCGGGACCCGCCGTCGAACCTCGTGCCATTGCTCGTTATGGAAAATCCTCGTCGCCACGGCCGGATTCTCAGGGGGCCGGAGGTCCCTTCCGTCGTGGCCCCAGAGCCCTGATTCCTCAACTGATTGAGGATCTGAGGATCATGATTATGTTGATCAATTTCTTCAACCCCATCATCATATGCCATCAATATAATTTATCACATATCAATTTCAAAGTAACATATAACTACATAACATGACATAAACAACTACTGTAATACCAACATCGACTTCAACCGAACATAAATACGACGTAATCGCCGAGCGGCCAGGAGCACTCCCTGCCCTCCCTCCCCCCCTCCCTCCCTCCCTCCCCTCTCCCTCCCTCCCCTCTCCCTCCCTCCCCCCGTACTCCCCCCCTCCCACCCCCCCCCTCCCTCCTTTTTGTTACCCATGCTTGGTGCTAGTTGACGCGGGTGAGTTGTTTCCAATCAACGTGAAAGCATGCCCGCCAACGAACAAAAATCGTTGGTGGTGCCACCAATAGAGACTCTATCGCAACACATCCCGCTCCAACCTCAAAACGACTGAAAGCCAGCGCTTGGCCAAAACTGCTCTCTGCACGTGCGCCGCGTATTTCCCATGCACTGAAGCTTTCCACACCTTCTGGGTGCTCCCGATCAAAGATTCATCGATGTACCAATTCTCGAATTTAGGATTTATTATTGCAGCCTGCTCTGGGATTTGCATTGCCTTGTGTACTTTCGGCCGAACTTGCCACCGCAAAAGATTATTGCCCCGAGCCCATTCTCGAAGACGCTGGTACGCACCCCCAAAATCGTCAACCACCTCTCTCATATGACGCAGACTGGCGTCGGACATGAACATAGGAGATCTGTCCATCAACGAATATAATTCTACCAACGCCGACGTGGCTTGACGAGTAGCAACATGCATTTCCCCATCGCCATTGAAATATTCAAGGGCTAGGCTGGCGAAGAAGGGGGCAGCCGCCCTGGTGTTCGCTGCCTTGAACGCTGGTTCTGCGCAGCTCAGCCCAGCCCTCTTCATTTTTGAAACTCTGGGGCAAGATTTTCGGAAGCTTGTGTGACCCAGGGTGCTGGGTGTAAAATGCATCCAGCTTGGCGTTGATGACGTTCAACCTCAGTTGCTGGTTATTGCCCAAACGCATATCCGTGACCAACGCTGCCAGCATCGAGCCAAACGCGAAATTGCTGACGCCTTTGCAGTCAAGCACGTGCATGACGTCTACATAGAAAAAATACCTCCAACAAAAGCCGCTGTCGACCAATGGGTGTCTGGGGAGCTTCGTTCGAGCTCGGGTCATTGCCGACGTGCTCCTCCACGCTGCGCACCTCCTCAGGTCAGTCCAAGGTCGCCCAGTTCTGTCCGCGAGGCACTCGCTGCACACTTCGACCGCCCCTTTGTGGTCCTGTAGCCCCCATTCGTCGGCTCTCACTTGCTCGTCAGCTTTGGCGAAAATCAAAATGAACTTCCAGAAACTTCCATCGGCGAAGCCAGTGGGGGCCACGGGGCGACCATTCACAACTCCAGCAAACAAAGCCTCAAAATCTGCTAGCAACGTTGTCCACATTGGCGTGTTGTCAGATGATTCGGCACGTCTGCGTTTGATGTACGTCGCAGATAGGAAACGAGTAAACTTCTCACTCCCTGAAGCAAGAACGCTGCCAAAAGAAGTGCAATTCGCACTCAGGCGTTTTGTCACTGGTCCAGCGTCCTCGTGCAAGGAAACAGGGATGCAGTACTTCAGCTCGTCCGCGCTGAGCGCGCTCAATTTTGCATGGTCTCTGAAATGGAGTCGGTTCCGAGGGTGGCGCAACGAATCCCAGAAGCATGTTATTTGTCCAAGATCGGCTCCGAAAATCTGTCTGAAATGCGATGGGTAATGTATGTGTATAGCTTGTATAACAGAACTCGGAAGCAGAATGTGCGAGGCAGCTTCGCCAATACTGCCTGGCACGCGCCCGATCTGATCCAATAGTTGCGTTCTGTTTTCCAGGAGTGTCATGAGGCCCACATGAGCATGCCCCCCCTCTCCGACTTGAGCTACACGAACTACCATTGGGTGATTCAAACCATCGCGCATTGCATCCGCCATCGTCTCCTGCAGTCTGGATGCAGAGATGTCACCCGAGCTCCACAACAACATTTGCCGCCAACATAAGTGTGACATACTGCTGGGCTCAACGGACTCGGTGTGATCTATGGCCATCTGCTGGCGCCAGCCACCTCGCCGACGTCTCGTCGTGTCCTCGATTGGCTCCCAGAGCCGACTCAACATCACGATATACGAACATGCACTAATCAAGAACATCAAACTGTGTACGTGGTTCATGTGTCCTGACAATGGAGCCAAAACGGCTGCGACGACGGTGATGGTGGTGGTGATGATGGCATTGAAGCCGTTTGTGAGATGCTGCATGGTTCATCGTTTCGCCGACCATCGTAACCCCAAGGGTGGGGGGGGGGCCAAGAAGGAAGACCCAAAGGTGGAGGCGCCTTGACGGGCGGGGGCCCAAGGATGGGGGCCAGAGGCCCAGGAGCGGGAGGCCCAAGTGGAGACCAAAGCGGGGGGGGTCCAGGGGCAAGGCATAGGCGTCGAACACGATGCACATGTTCTAAAACAGTTTAGAACATGTCCACGATCTGAGACCATCGTATCCCCAAGGGTGGGGCGGGGGAACCTAAGACGGAAGACCCAAAGGTGGAGGCGCCTTGAAGGGCGGGAGCCCAAGGATGGGGGCCAGAGGCCCAGGAGCGGGAGGCCCAAGTGGAGATCCAAAGCGGGGGGCCCAAGGGCAAGGCATAGGCATCGAAAACGATGCACATGTTCTAAAACAGTTTAGAATATGTCCACGATCTGAGACCATCGTAACCCCAAGGGTGGGGCGGGGGAACCTAAGACGGAAGACCCAAAGGTGGAGGCGCCATGAAGGGCGGGAGCCCAAGGATGGGGGCCAGAGGCCCAGGAGCGGGAGGCCCAAGTGGAGATCCAAAGCGGGGGGCCCAAGGGCAAGGCATAGGCATCGAAAACGATACACATGTTCTAAAACAGTTTAGAATATGTCCACGATCTGAGACCATCGTAACCCCAAGGGTGGGGCGGGGGAACCTAAGACGGAAGACCCAAAGGTGGAGGCGCCATGAAGGGCGGGAGCCCAAGGATGGGGACCAGAGGCCCAGGAGCGGGAGGCCCAAGTGGAGATCAAAGCGGGGGGGGCCCAAGGGCAAGGCCGCCTGTGGCGGTGCCGCCGACGCGGCGCTGCGGCGGTGGCGCTGTGGCAGCATTACGAAGATCTGAAATCTGTGGCGCTGTGCCAGCCTCCTCCTCCTCCTCCTCCTCCTCCCCCTCCTCCCCCTTCTCCCCCTCCCCCTCCTCCTCCTCCCCCTCCGCCTCTCTTCCCCCTCCTCCCCCTCCTCCTCTCCTCCCCCTCCTCCTCATCCCCCCCCTCCCCCTCCCCCTCCCCCTCCTCCTCCTTTGTATGCAGCAAGGAGAAGATCTGAAATCTGAAAATCTGAATTCAGATTTTCAGATTTCAGATCTTCGCAATGCCGCATGTATGCAGCATTACGAAGATCTGAAATCTGAATATCTGAATTCAGATTTTCAGATTTTCAGATTTCAGATCTTCTCATTCTCCCTCCTCCTCCCTCCTCCTCCTTCTTCTCCCCCTCCTCCTTCGCCTCCTCCTCCGCCTCCTCCTCCTCCGCCTCCTCCTCCTCCGCCTTCTCCTCCTCCTCCGCCTCCTCCGCCGTGTCTTCCTCGCCGGCTGTCGGCTGCTGGCCCCTGGCCCCCAGCGGGCCCCCGACCCTCGAGGACAAGGCGTGTTTCTTTTTCCCTCGTTGGTAGCGGGGCAGAGGCCATGCGTAACCACGTTCCTCTGCCGCGCTGCGCGGCAGCCCCCTTGATGGAAGCGAAGAAGTACAAACGAAGCTGAATGCCGCGACTGGCTTGAAGCGAAAGCTGGCCTAGCACCTCAGATCTTGAACCATGGCTTCATGGCCGCGCAGATCTTGTTCCCCCCCTTGATGACCTCCTTGAGCTGGTTGCTGTAGTTGGCTGCGTCGGTGACTTCATTCGGGCTGAAACGCTCGCCCCGAATGAACTTCTGCTCCAAGGCGCAGAGCTGATCGTCGATGGAGTTGCCCTGGAGGGTGGCTCCGTTCAAGTCGGATTCGAACTTGCACCCCTTCGTGTTCTGATTGCTAGCTGACTGGGCCACCACGCCCGAGTACTCACGACGTGCTTTGTCCCACGCGTTGTGCGCTTTCCGAATGTGCGCCACGCGCGCCCTGTCCCTGATCTCCTCAGCGCTCGGCGGCGCAGATGCTGCCGCCATGCCCTCTGGTAAGATCTGCTTGGCGACCCCCTCCGAGGCGGTCGACGAGATGGGGCTGAACGTGTTGCTGCCCGTCTGCAAACGATCCCTGGCCCACTGCAAGTCGAAAGCGATCCCAGTGCCTTCTTCCACGTTGGACTGCACGTTGGACTCCTCATCAGTCTTGATCTTGGAGCGCTTCTCTTTCTCAGAGATGAGCTTGACCTGGAGGTTTCGTGGCCATTTGATGTCAGACGACGGGGGCAAGCGAGGGCGCGGGCGAGACTCCACCGTGCGCGCGTTGACTTGGGCAAGCAGGACGTCGTAGCCCTCCTTGGCCTCCGCCTCGGCCCATGCAACCCAACCAGCCTCCTCGTCCTGCGTCTCCACATTCTTGATGCTCCTCTTCTTCTCATTGGATTCCTTCGCGTTGTAGCTGATGACCTTCTCCACGAACTCGTCGAAGCGCTCGGGGGCGACCATCTCCTGAGATCTCACGATCTTCCACTCGTCATGCCAGGACGATGGCACCAAGCGAAGCTCGTAGTTGAATCGGTTGTACCTCGCCTTGTCGCTGCTGAACGCTGAGCGCGCATGGGTCGCAACTCCTGCCGCTGATGGAGCATCTGCCGCACCTGCGGGCGGGGGAACTGCTCCTGGAGCAACCGCCTCATCATCAGGGTTGGGTGGGGGCTCCTTCTTCACGGCTGTCGTGGCCCCACGGTGCTGGCAAACGGCTGCGCCGTTCGACGAAGCCATCTTGATCCGAGCCCTCTCTGCGTCGAACCGCTCTGCCCGCCGAGCAGCGGCCTTAAAGGCTGGGTACGCGCCAAGCTGTTTTTGAGCCATACCTGCTACGGTGATGCTGATGATATGCTGATGCTATGCTGATGCTATGCTGATGCTATGCCATGCTGATGCCATATGCTATAATGATGGAAAATCCGACGGCTATGCTGAGCGTGATGGTGATGCTGACGACGGCGATGATGATGAGGATGATGGTGGCGGTGATGAGGATGCTGACGATGATGATGGTGATGGCAATGACTCAGATGAATGCAACGATGACGAAGATGGCGGTGGGTTGACGATGCTCGGTCTCTGCGCACTGTGGCCGTGCAACTGCCATAGTGAGAATAACACTACTGGTCGGAAATACCGACCGCTCACCCGAGACTGCGCGCCCCTCACAAGCGCAGTCAAACGTGCACACGTAGCTTGGATGACTACTAGCTGATGTAGCAGTCCACCTGGTCCTGCACCCACTGCTTCGCGTCGCTGGGGTTCGTGATGTCATTGGCCTCGATGAGGCGTTTGAGCTCAGTAATGATCTCGATGTACTTGGCGTGCCTGTTGCTGCTCAACCCGACGATGAAACTCCTCTTCTTCTTGGGATCGGAAGTGCCGTGCTGGAGGTAGGCCTCGCCGATCATACGAGGTGGTTTGGGCGCCCTCTTCGTCATCATGATGGGCCAGACCCACTTCGTGAAAGTCCCCTCGGTCCTCGCGGCGCTCTTCGCAAAGATATGCTTGGCCTTCCCTCTGCGCGGCGGCTTCCTCGGGGGGGCGCCTGGGTCTTGACAGACTGCTTGCCTTTGAGCCTGCGCCTTGGTGCCTCTTTCTGCACCGTCGTCTTTGGGATCTCGGTCTCGCGACGCTGCCCTCCAATCGCTGCGCTGGGCACGCCTGCTCGGCAGTCAGGGCAACGGCAACTGACATTCAGGACCTCGACGTCGCTATCGGAAATCTCCATCGTCTCGTCGGGCTCAGAACCTGAGAATTCCGCAAACTCTGGCATGGCAGAAACGATTGGCGGATCCGCGTCGGACAGCAGCGTTGGCTGGCCCGTCGGGGGCGGGTCACGCAACTTGATAAGGTCGACGAGCTCAGTCATCTCGGGGCCGTACACACCAGACTTCTTCATGTTGTAGACGTCCTTGCACATCACGCGCCACACGTCTGATGCGTTTGACGAGTCGGCTGCTCGCCCTCTGGTCTTCTTGGGGCAGAAGATGGTGAACTTCGCGTCGAGGTGAACGAATGCGGCCTTCAAAGTGGTGTGAGTTGGGAACCCCGAAGGGGCCAACTTGAGGAGTTCCATCAGGGGCTTCTTGTACGTCAGGAGCGAGCTTTCGTCGGCGCCCTGGTTCCTACTCGGCCGAGTATAGTCACTGCCGTCCCACTCCCAACCAGGCTTTTTCAAGCAGAGCCATTGCTTCCAACACGCCTCCAAAGCGCACGCTAGCACGACGTGAGTCCTTGGACGAAGCCCCATGTCCGTGCAAGCTCTGCAAAGAAAAAACCAGATCCAGCAACTTTGGCCAAAATGGCTGCGGGCGTGGGGGAGGGGGAGGAGGAGGAGGAGGAGGAGGAGGAGGAGGAGGAGGAGGAGGAGGAGGAGGAGAGGAGGAGGCGGAGGGAGGAGGAGGAGGAGGAGGAGGAGGAGGAGGAGGAGGAGGAGGGGTAGGAGGAGGAGGAGGAGGGGTAGGAGGAGGAGGAGGAAAAGAGCAAATCCGCCGACCCTTAGGAGTTGACCGGGCGCGTGAGTTCCACGCGCGCACAACCCAGCTAATAAACAACTACAGCGACGCAGCGTGTTTGGAGCCAACTAGTCATATACAAATATGATAGATTGTATAATCAAACTATCATTAATTATGATTAGAGCGCGCCAGTTTTTATGCTCGTAGTTGAAGGTCTGCTGTTTCTGTAACTCTTCAATAAAATGCTGGATCTGGTCCTCTGGGGCCCCCAGCCCTCGCGCATTTTGGAAGCCCGGCGGCCCCCGCGCTGAGGCTTCTGCGGGCCCCAGGGGGGGAGCGACAATTTTGCACGAGGGGTTGCCACGATTGGTGGCGGGTCGGAGCGTCAAGGGGGTTCGCGTTACAGAGGAGACGGGGGACGCACCGACGCAGTTTCTACTCCGGTTCCGCCCAGGAATGGGACGAGAGTGGGCCCCCCCGGTCGAACCTAGTGCCGCTGCTGGTCCTGGAGAGCATTCGTCGCCGCGGCCAGATTCTCAGAGGGGCCAGCGGACCCTTGTCGTGACCCGAGGTCTTCGCGCCTCCTGGAGCCCTGGCGGCCTGCGCCCGGGGACTGCTGCGAACCCCATGGAAAGAGCGACAATTATTACTCAAAGGGGTTGCAGCGATCAGCGGCGGGTCTGAGCATGAAGGAGGGTCGTGCTACAGAGTAGGCAGGGGACCCACCGATGCCTTGTCCACGCCGGCACTGCCCAGGACTGAGGCGAACGCGGGCCCCGCCGTCGAACCTAGCGCCACTGCTCGTTATGGAGAGCCGTCGTCGCCACGGCCCAATTCTCAGGGGGCCAGAGGACCGCCCCGTCGTGGCTTGCAGCCTTCGCGCCTCCTTGAACCCCGGCGGCCCCCGCCCATGGGTTGCTGCAGGTTCCAGGGATCGGGGGCAACGATAAGGGGGGATGCATAGGGGGGGACGCATCGACATCCAATCGCCCATTGATCGCCGATAGGGGCCCGATAACCCCAACCTGCCCAGGAAGGTGCGGATTCTTAATCGGAGGCCTATCGCCGATCTATCGGCGATGTATCGCCAATTCTGGGTCGTTACCCCTCAAGGGAGAGAGCGGCAACTTTGCGCAAGGGGTGGCCGCGATCCGTGGCGGGTCTGGGGACGAAGGGGGGTCCTGTTACGGAGGAGGCGGGGATACCGCCGAAGCCCTTTCCACTCCGGCTCCGCCCGCGACGGGGGCGAGCGTGGGCCTCGCCAGCGAGTCTGCTGCCGCTGCTTGTCTCGGAGAGCCCTCGTCGCCACGGCCGGATGCGCAGGGAGTCAGGGGGCCCCCCGCGTCGTGGCCCGCAGCCTTCTCGCCTCCCAGAAGCCCCGGCGGCCTCCGCCCAGGGGGTGCTGCGGGCCCCGGGAAGAGAGCGGCAATGTTGCGCGACGAATTGCCGCGTTTCGTGGCGGGTTTGAAGTGGTTTTCCCCGGCGGAGGAGGCGGGGAACCCATTTGCGCCCTCTCCACCGGCATCACCCCCAGCCTGGCAGTAAGTGGGGACACAATTTTGCTGTCGGCTGCCCGAAGCCTGGCTTTCGTGTTCGCGTCAATTTGTGCCGAGTGCCCCGTACTGTGGATCGGCAGCGCCCGCAGGTGCACCGACTCGCGGCCCGGCTGCTGCCGCGGCCCCCGTTGCCGCTGCTGGCCGCGCCGGCGCGCTCAGGTGAAATTGTTCCGCGTTTGGGCGCCGTCATCCGCGGCCGCCCTGTGTCCCCCCCCCCCCCCCGCATGCCGGCCAATTCGCGTTTCTGTCGCCCCCATCTGCCCCGCCGCCGACGAAACAAGTATTTAGTTTTGCCTTCCTAACGATGCTGAGTCCGAGCTCTGCGTTTCTGGCATGTGTCATCGAGCGCCTTCATGGTGGAGCAAGTCCTGCGCGTTCGTCTGATGCTGATCGAAAGCTCCTCACTTGAATGTGAACCCGCCGGAAATGTCATTTCATTCGTGTATTCGACATCTCCTCTTCCTGTCTCCATTCTGGAGTATGTCACCTTCGCGCATTTGCGATCACAGCATTTTCCGCAAACGTCGGCAGCCCAGGGGCGGTCGAAGGATGCGTTCGCGATGTTTGTTTGTTCTCCACGGTTCTTCTAGAAACCTCTTGGTACGTTGCGGAGCCCTGCTGACGCCCACTCGTGCCAGTTTTGTTTTTTTTGTTAAGCTATCCGTGGGTTGTGTCATAGCCGTGTTTCTTGCTCCCTCCTTCCTGAACCTCTTCGTCGTCTCCTCCTCCTCCTCCTCTTCCTCCTCTTCCTCGTCCTCCTCCTCCTCCGCCTCCTATCCTCCTCCCCCTCCTCCTCCTCCCCCTCATCATCATCATCCTCGTCATCATCGTCATCATCCGCATCATCATCATCATCCAATATACTTTCAGGCCTCGTGGGGTCATCTCGTTTTTTTGTTTTAGCGTTTAAAAAATCCGCGAAGCCCATACCGTTTGCAACGTCAGCAGTCAAGCCCCTGCACCACGCCAGCGCAACACGGAGCAGGTGGAACGTAAGCGCCGGTTTTGAGCACCCCTTTTTTGTCCTCAGCCGCGTCCTCCTCCACCTTTATCGTCCCCCCTCCCCACGCAGGCCTTCTCTTTCTGCTCCTCTCCCCCTCTCCCTGTTGATGGCATATTGGAGGTTTTTTCAGGGCTCCGCTGGGCTTGCAACCCTCTCGTGGGCCCCTCTGGGGTTTGTTACTGGCCCCTCGGGGATCGTGGGGCCGCCTGCCTCGCAATAGCCCTGCTGGGCTCCCCCGAGGAAGCCCAGCCGGATCATCCCTGAGGGCGTCTGGGCGGGTCTCGGAGGAGGGGGGAGTTGGGGGACAGGGGACAGGCTAGTCAAGGGTTTCCGATGGCTTTCGGGAGTGGTCGAAGGTTCCCGAGGCCTGGGATGGTGTTCATCAGCTGCGCCTCGTCGATGGCCTTCCGGGGGTGCCGGAGTCGCCCCGAACGGCCGCCAGAGGCCCGAGTTATGACCCGAGAGCCACGGAACGGAAGGTCAGGGGCAACGTTTGGGGGGGGATCGGCACAGGGTGGGACGCATCGTTTTCCAATCGCCCAGCCATCGCCGATAGGGGCCCAGATAACCCACCCCGCCCAGGAATGTGCGGACTCGCTACCAGGGGGGCCCATCGTTGATCTATCGGCGATGTATCGCCGACTCCGGGTCGATGTCCCCCCCTATGAGACAGCACCCCCCCCTACCATTGTCCCTCAAGAGGGGGAGGAGAGATATCGAGCGCGTGCCTGCTCAGCCGCCTGCCGCTCGGCCTCATCTTCATCCGCTGCATCCTTCTGATTGCTTATACCCTCGTGCTCCTCCTGGTTATCAACCTCGTCCTCCTCGGCCTCCGTCCTCCCCGTGTTCCTCGTGTTCCCCCTCCTCTTCTGTGTCCTGCCCCACCTCCTACTCCTCCTCCTCCTCCTTCTCGTCCTTCTCCTCCTTCTCCTCCTCGTCCTCGTCTTTCGATCATGTCCTCTTCCGGATTGCTCGCTCGGCAGAGGTGCGAGCAGTGCGCGGAGGTGGTGCGAGCACGGAAGCAGATCACGATATACTCTGCCCCGAATTCCTTGGTGCTGCACCTGAAACGCTTCCGCTACGAGACTCGCGGGAAGGTCACAAAGCCGGTCGCTTGGGGATTCCAATCATACACTTGCACATCCTGCATTGATCCAGGGTCCAACGTCCAGCATGGACAGGATTGAACATGTGTCTTTGCAGGCTCCAGGATCTCAATCCCGATCCATCTCAACGCCAGCCACTTCCGCGATCGATGGCTCCCTAGTTGTTGAGCAGATTCCCCGGGCTGCTCTGTGCCGCCGTCGCCGCCTGCTGCCGCGGCACGGTTTTGTGCGCCTGCAGCTGTTTCGGATTCGAGACACCTTTTTCGGTGTCTATCGGAGGTGGACAGAACCCCCAACAGTGACACGTCGATTAGTGAATTGTCCGTTTTCGGTTCTCGAGAGTGCGCCGTGACCGTTATTTGCCAGGCTTGCGCCCGCCAGGTTTGGGCCTCAGGTCGTTTTCACTAAACCATGTTTTACTAATGGGGGGTCTGTCCATCCCCGAGTCTAGATACTTGGTCGGCACCGCGGGCCGACCCCAGGCTAGCTAAAAGGGAGGGTCGTGGATGGTCGTTGCGTCGTCGTCCCTCTTCCCGCGCCCACGTATCCCACTCATATCAGCTTGCTGGATTGTTCCTGACATGTCGATACGACCCGTCCACAGCAGTACTGAGACCAGCATAACATCATCTTCGAACCCTACATATGCTGGGGATCTTGTTCCTCTGTCAAATCACTTCCCTGTCTCGGCGCGCGTTTCTCGGGCGGGCCTGGATCCAGTCTGGCTTGTCCGCTTTTTTGTTTCATGCCCGTGCCCCTTGTGACACGCAAGCCTCCAGCTTTCACGCCGAAGGCCGTTGAAGACTGCGGGAAACTGCCGGAGACCGAGCCTCCGAAGACTGTTGGAGGACCGCCAGAGACAGCCAGAGACCGCCCGAGGCGGATGGGTAGCAAGGGGTCCATTCAGCCACGCGCAGAGGGGGGTGGGGGGGAGGGGGGAGGGCTTCTTAGAAGCACCCCTGCTTCTAAGAAGGCGCGGGCCTTCTATACAGGTGCAACGCCGGCGCCTTCTAAGAAGCAGCCTCCCCTCCCCCCTCCCCCCACCCCCTTGTGCGCGCCGCCAATCCATGGTCGCGTGCGCGGTGCCCCTGCCAACTTCGTCACAGGCGGCCGGACCGACCCCCTCGCAGACACGCGCCCCTTCGCCGCGGCCCCCTCGCCCCGCTCCGGGGCGCGCGCTGGCGGCCGGGGGGGGGCCTCCGAGGGCGCGCGGGGCCCGCGCGGCTCCTCTCTCTCCTCCTCCTCCTCCCTCCTCCTCCTCCGCCTCCTCCTCCCTCCTCCCTCCTCCTCCTCCTCCTCCTCCTCCTCCTTCCTCCTCCTCCTCTCCTCCTCCTCCTCCTCCTCCTCCTCCTCCTCCTCCTCCTCCTCCCAGGGTCGGCGCGGGCCCACTGCAATGCCCCCTTCTCGCGTCGGTGCGAGCCTCCAGCACTTTCCGCCCTGCACCTTCTTCCGGCTGGCGCCACAGGCATCCCGGCCGCTCCCACCTGCCCGTCCAGGTGCCCCATGGTCATCGGTGCTGGTTGTGCACGGTGGTCCCTTCGATTTCCGACCTGCTCGATTTACTCTATGCCACTGCTGGCGAGTCATGCTCTCTCTCTCTCTCTCTCTGTGTAGTGTGTGTGTGTTCCCATGTTGGTGCGTGTTGCTGCGTGCTCGCTCTGATGACTGAAGCCGCATCGCCCACGTCGGTTTTACCTCGACGTTTGTGAAAGCCGCAGGGCGCCACGATCCCTAGATAAGGGCACGAGCATTGCATAAAATGTGGATTTCCGCGCCCACCCAGGTGGCGTTCGGCGCCGAGCTCAACCTCCGCCCCTTCCTATGCGCCGGTTCGCCGGAGGCTGCGGGGCCGCTCATGTACGACTTGCGGGCGGCCGCGGGCGAAAACCCGAAGCCTTCCGCATCCGCGGCCACGCGGGCATGGCCCCTGGGAGCGACCCCCACGGATATGGGGGGCGTTTTCTCCTGGGAATCCCCGCGCGGAGCGTATCCGCGGGACCGCGTACACGCGGCGCCGACCCTTTCCCCGGGGCCAGTTTTCCATCCTGACTAGTTTTTTGACGCCGGGGCCCGGTGAGGTCCCCGAGAGACCTAACACTACGAAAAACGTCGCGTCCTGCATTTGCACGACGCGGGCACGTTTGGGGACATGTTCGCCGCTAGTGAGGTGGTTGTCGTGCACCTTGACAAGCTGGGCTACTCCCACTTCGGCCACTACGTGGCATACGTGCGCTGCGCGTCGGAGGGAGGGGGCTCCAGGCCCGTGGGCGGATCGACATTTCATGCCGCTGCCGATGCCCCTGCCCTCGCCTTGGCCCTTTTTGGGCATCCCTCGGCCAGGGCGCGAGCGAACGGGTGTTTAGGCGAGCAGAGCTGTCTCGTTTTGCGTTCGCTTTGCAGCAGACGCGGGGCGAAGACAGCACCCGGGAGAACGAGCACGAAGCGAAACCGGAGCAGACGGGTCAGCTCTTAGCTCGCGCCCTGTCCTGGGCCAGGGTTGGGCTTGCCCTGGCAGCCCCTTGCAGGGCGCGCTCCCCCAGGGGAGGTCGAGGCCCAGCAGCGGCGTCGGTTCCCGTCGGTCCTCGCCGCGATCGGAAACCGGGACCGGCTGAGAGGGGCGTGCGATGACCAGGGTGGGGGGGTGGATCTCATGGCGGGGGCCACGATATCTCCCCAGATTTCATGGCGCCGGTTCTCATTTCGTTACGTCCTCGCCCCCCCCCCTCGTGGACGTTCCCCTCTCAGACGTCACCGAGAAAAGGGGTCCCGGGGGAGGCGTTGGGGAGCAGCCGCTCCCTGGCCGCCCCACCGGCGACGAGCGCCTCACGAGGCGGCGGCCCTCGCGGCCAAACGCGGCCCCGAGCGGCTCCCAAGAGGGCCCCACGAGGCGGCCGGACAGGTCCCCAAGTCGAGGGCAAACAGTCCCCCCCCCCATAATCACCACCCCGACACGCGAAGCCGTTTACGAAACGCCCCCACTGAAATAATTGAACAGGGCAGGGCTGCCTGTAGTAAACGCCCAAGGCCGTTTCGTAAACGCCAACTGTCCGGTCCAGGTGGTGTTTCCTCCCTTGACCAAGACGCCCCAAGAGGCGCCCAAGATGGCCCAAGGTATGAACACAGCAACTCAGAGGCCCGCGCAGATTTCTCGGATCGGCGCCGGGGCCCCCTGGCGGCGCCCCTGGGCGAAATCTGCGCGGACCTCCAAGCTATTGTGATCATGGCATTGTTTGTTCCCCCAAGTCGGGTCTTGGATCCTGGAGCTTTCCCCACGACCAGTTCATTACCCTGAGGCGTCGTTTCTTGACGGTGCCAGGGCCCCCCCAGAGGCCAGAAAAGTGTTGAAATCCCAGGGCCTACTTTCCTTTCGCTGTCAGGCCTGTCCCACCCCCTTGTTCGCAGGTGTTGGCGACTCGGGTGTGGTTACGCTGGGGTGTGGCTTGCGATCTGCATCGTTGGGGCCTGGGGGGCACCACGTTTTCCTCGTCGGGCCTCCTCGGGGTGCGGTGGAGAGCTCTGTCGAGGTCCTCGCCCGCTCCCCAGGGTGCGCGTTGCAAACCACACCCTTCGCAAGCCGCACCCTTCGGAGTCGCCGAAGTTGGCACCTCCTCGACGACAGCCAGGCCACCGAGGTGCCAGAGGCGGAGGTTCTCCGCCAGCAGGCCTACATGCTCATCTATGCCCGCGCCGGCCAGCGCGCTGGGGCCGAGGATCAGGGGCGACGATGGGCTCACGGGGGGACGCATCGACCCCCAGACGCCCAACCAACGCCGATAACCGCCCCGTTCCATCGGCGATGAATCGGCCAGTCCAGCTCGATGTTGCCCCCCCTTGAGCTGGTCCTCCCCTGCAGTCGGGCCGTTGAAGAAGGAACCCTCTTCGTTTGGGAGGGGCGCATTGGTCCTTGACTGTTGTGCAGTTTGTGTTAATTAGGTGATCCTTGGGTTTTTTATGGGGAACACCGAAGTTTCACATGTGGAGAAAAACAGGCGCCTCGTTTCTTATTTAGGGTTCCTCTTTTCTCGTGGGCTTCGCGGAATCGCCTGTGTACTGTGGCTCCCACAGGCTTGGAACTTGTGTATGGCTGTCACCGGTCCTCCAGACTGGAGCCCCAACGGCTACAGAGAGGAACACGATATCATGATTATCCCTCCTGCCTACCCCTAGCGCCTCCTTTAGGCCTCCTTGTGACAGCGGCCCGACTGCATCGTTGGCCCTCCGAGGACGCCGTGGCGGCGCTGACGCTGCAGCGGGCCCGCTCGGGCGCCGAAGCGTCCGCCGCTGACGGCGCGGCGAGCGCCCTGCCCCGCAGGTGCAGGGGCCTCCGCGGCGCCGTGTGCAGCTTCTTCGCGGGGTGCGACGGCCTCTGCACGAGGTGCTACCAGGACCGGCCGCTGCCCCATAGGTTTTGGAGTACTCATCTGCTTCCCTCCCCTCTCCTCCTCCTCCTCCTCTTCCTTCCCCTCCTCCCGCTGTGGCGACCCTTGTTCGCTTGGAGTGGGGCTCCAACAAAAAAAAAAACGAAGTGCTACCAGGACCGGCCGATGCTCGAGATCCTGGCGACGCAACTCTTTCGAGCCGGGCGCTTTCGCACCATTTCGGGTCCCCGGGGGCCTCCCAGATCGATCCGGCTCAGGAAATGACTGGGAAAGGTCGGGTGGGTTCCAGGCGCGATTTTCACGGCGTCTTGAGGCATCGGACCTCGGGGTTGGTGCGTGGGCAAAACACATCCATATCCGCGGCCTCGCGGGCATGACCCCTGGGCCGCGACCCCGAGGATGCAGGACTCTTCTTCGCGGACGCCCCGCGCGGGCGTACCCATGAGCGCGTATCCGCGGGATCGCGCCTTGGCACCCAGACCGCCCAAAATCGGCGGTGTGCCTCCACCGAGGGAGGAAGATCCCGATCTCGGCGATGGTGGTGACATTAAGACTTCCGAGGTGACCAGAACGTTACCACCAACACCGACATCTAGGATCATCCCTCCCCTGTGGAGGCAACACCCCGTGCTGGTGCTGGTGCCCCCCATCCAGGCCCCCAGCTGCTCGCCGCTCGTTTGGGGTGGCCATTCGCCAGGGTGACCTCGTGGCGCGCGGCTTGCGGGAGGCCGAGTTGGAGGGGGGGTGGTGCTTCGAGGCGCGGCCCCGGAGTCGCCCGGGGGGGCGGTTTGCCTCGGGAGGCCCTGAGACGCTTGGCATCGCTCGGACGTGTGCATTTCTCCTTCGGCGAGAAGCCATCGAGGAGCATCCTCGATCATTTGGGAAAAAAAACACGCCCGAAGCCGAACAAAAACACAGGGAATGGACGTCCGAGCGATGGCGAGGACGGGGGTCGATGCGAACGGGGGTCGGTCAGAGCGCCCGATCTCGCAGGATCCTGCAGGGCCAGGGTCGCACGGACCCGGGCTCGGGTGCAGGAGCCTGCAGGATCCTGCAGGATCCTTCGCACGGACCCGGGCTTGGGTGCAGGGTCCTGCGGGATTCTGCAAGGCCTGGCTGACCCGGTTGTTGGGTTGACCCGGGTCAGAAGATCCCCGATTGCCGTCCCAGATCAAAGCTTGGCGATCCCGGAGCCCGAGGACGGTCCCCAGTGGCCGAGAACGGGCCCTCAGATCTGACGTTGCAGGGATGAGGCAACGTCGCAAAGCAATATCCTCCAGAGGTGGTGGTCCTATCTTTCTGCGTACTTTGTCGAGCCGGATCGATATGTCAGGGTCCTGGGGCCCGAAACCAGGCGAACACGCCCGTTGCGAAAAATTTGAATATCCCAGATCGCAGGGTCATGTTCCCAGAAATTTGGGCGAACAACGGTCGGCGAGCCGCGCACCAGAGGCCCCCCATTCCGCGCATCCTTGCCATCATCATCATGATCAGTATCATCATCATCATCATCATCATCATCATCATCAGCATCATAATCATAATCATCATCATCATCATCATCATCATCATCACCAGCATCATCATCATCATCATCCTGTCATCATCATCATCATCACCATCATCATCATCTTCTTCTTCATTTTCAGCAGCATCATCATCATCATCATCATCATCATCATCATCATCATCATCATCATTCATCACTATCACCATCACCATCACCGTAATCACCATCACCATCATTATCAGATTCATCATCGTCATCATCGTCATCAGCATCAGCATCAGTATTTTCATCATTACCATCGTCAGCAGCAGCATCATCATCACCATCATAATCCTCTTCATCATTATCAAATTCCTCATTCTCTGTCCCATTCGCATTATCCGTATCGTTATCATAATCATTGTCCGTATTCTCCTCATCATCAGCATCGCCATCATCATCCTGTCATCATCATCATCATCATCATCATCATCATCATCACAGCCTTCGTCAGCAGCGTCGTCAGCATCATCAGCATCACCAGCATCACCATCATCCCCATCCCCATCCCCATCATCATGATCATTCTCTTTTTCCGCATCACCATCATCATCAACACCACCATCATCATCATCATCACCAGTATCATACGCATTATCATTATCACCAGCATGATCACCATCATCAGCATCAACAGCAATATCATCATCATTATCATCGTGTTTTCCATTATTCTCCGAGCCCTGAAGCCTCTGCAGGTCGTCTGCAGGTGCTTCGGCCCTGAAGCCTCGCGTGGCATCCCTGGGCGGGCGCATTATGCATGCGCTTTCCCAGGCCGCCATCGAGGGTGCGGGGGCGGTGCTCCTCCAAAGTCTGCGTGTCGCGCTCTACGAGCGGCTATAGGCCAACCGCACCCCTCGCAGACTGCGTCGGCTCCTCCGCGGGGTCCTCGTGGTCCGCCCAGACCGACCCGAACGGCGGAGGGCGCTGCCCTCCCTCCGCTGCAGGTGCGGCCGGCCCCGCCGTCTGCCAGGGGTTGGCGGCGGACCTGAGCAGCGGGGTGGCCCCTCTGCTGCTCTCGTCGGTGGTTGCCCTGTTGTTGACCACTGCCGCCTCCAGCCTCTGCGGAGGCTGTTGCGCCCGGGCTCTGGCGGCCCCCTGGCGGGGGTCGCCAGGGCCCCCTCGCACGCGGGCGTCGATCGCAGCCCCTGGGGGATTCGGTCGCGGCCCGCAGCGCGTCCTGGCTTGCGGCCCAGGCGCGCAGGCTGAGCAGCGGGCGCGGGCCTTGGCGCGAGGCCAAGTCGCGCTGCGCCTCATCACGGCTGAGTTCGGCCGGCGGTTCGCGCGCCCCCAATTTGCCAACGGCCATGGCGGACGACGCCCCAGCGTCGGGGGGCAGGGGGGAGGGGGAGGAGGGAGGAGCAGCATGTGGGGAGGAGCTATTGAGTGGGATGGCGAAGCGACGCTGCCGGAGCACAAAAAAAGCATTGCGGGATTGAAATTCGAGCCGCGCGCGCTGTAGCCGCTCCTCTCAAGTCCACGACCGTTCGGATGCATCGCTCGACTCTTGGACAAGGAGGGCGGATGCGCCATGGGCGCATTCTTGCCGGCCGGGCTCGTATTATCTGCGCGGCGTCGGCTACCAGTCAAGGGCAGCCGCCGCTCCATGGAGTCGATGGTTCTGCGCGGGGGTGCGAGCCTGCTGTGAGTTCCTGCTGGGCGACGCCCTGGCACGCGGAGCGTTCGACTCCGCAGCGACCGGCGAGGCGCGCGACGTCGCTGTGGGGGGAGGCGCGCGCACTGCCTCGGGAATGCTCGCTCGCTGCGTCGGTGGCTGCCCGGCGCCGCCGGGGCCGCCCTGCAGGAAGCGAGCGCGGCCGCGCAGCCGAGAGGCCCTCGGGTTCCAACGCGCCGTGGAATGCAGTCCTTAAGCAGGTGGCAGAGGTCGTCGCCGATGATAGATGACTTCGTGGTTTCCCGGGGCTCCCTTTCTTCGTGGAACACTCAGCGAATCCGGCGTTGCGGCGCCGCCCCGCAGTCGTCGGCACCCTGGTTCGCGCGGGAGCCATGCGAGCAAAGTGGCGCATGTGCCCTAACCGCACTTCGGGGATGCGAGCGCCCTATAGGTTAGGGAATTCGAGCGCGTTGCCGGCTCGAAATACTACGGCGCGCCGAAACCCCGCAGCCGTTTAATTTTTCAATGCAAGTGGAGGCGCCTCAATGGTTTACACGAGCGCTCGAAGGCTTCCAGTTCGTATCCGGTCGAATGCGCGCACGCACTTGCAACGATATGAGCGCGGGCATTTTGAATCAGGGCGAGGATCGCTCTGAGCCGGATTGTCTTCGCATTCCATTCGGCGGGGTCCAAATCAAATATGTGATCGTGCATCCTCGCACCGGACACCTGCCACTCAAACTTCCACCGCGCGCTGCCCGCGCTCGCCATCGCGTCGTCGACCGCGCCGGCAACGGCGCCAGCAGAGAGGGGCGGGGGGAGAGGTCGCGAGGAGGGGAGGCCAGTGAGGCTAGCAGCAAGGCGCGGCGTAACCCGACGCGACAACGATTCGTCATCGCCACGGCCAGCAGCACAATCGCGCGGAGCATCGATCGCGACAGTAGTTCAGGATTGTTGTAGCCCGAGCCTTTCGCTTCATATGAAACGCCCTGCTGAATGAGATGTGGCCGCGTGGGACATTCCTGCCGAGGGCGATGGCGAACCGCCCAGCGATGGGGCCTCGCGCCAGGCCGTGTTTGGCAGGCGAGCCAAGCGCTTGCAGGGTCGGGGCGCCGTGCCACTTCGCTGCTCTAGCAGGTGTCCAAGCAGGAGGGAAAACAACACACAGACACAATTAATCGTCGATTCCCCAGAAAATGTGGGAAAATATGGGAAGTGGGGGGGAAGACGAAAACCCAGAAAATATAGGAAAATATGGGAAATCGTTTTATTTGTGTGTATTTATTTGTGTGTCCTTAAGCCCCTTGATTCAAGAAGCGACGAAGAGCGGGCTTTTCCCCGCCAGCCCGGCCGGGCATTTCCACGGGAAGCTAGGCGCGGCATTGGGTTTCAGGGAGGATGCTGCAAGTTGCGCGACGTGGAGGCACCGTCTGATAGGGGCTTCCTTTTCGACGCAATGAGGACGCGGATGGAACCCTCTCAAGATGCGAGCCCGTATCCCGAACCAGGATGGGTATACTCTTTTTCTGTTTCTCTGTCTCTCTCTTTCTCTCTCTCTCTCTCTCTCTTCCTCGAACTCTCGGGATCTCTCTCTCTCTCTCTCGCTCTCCCTCTTCTCTCTCTATATCGCTTTCCCTCTCTCTCTGTCGCTCTCCCTCTCTCTCTCTCTCTCCCGACGGGAGAGGGGGCCGGGAAGGAGGGGGCGAACAAAGGCCCCCCGTCAACGGGGCTGGACCGACACCCTGCGCGCGCCGAAAGGGTCGGCGGATCTCGGGCGAGGCGCTCTACAATCCCAGCAGTCACCTCCATCGACGCATCGGAATGCCAAAGTCGCGACAGCGCCCCAGGTCTCACGGCGCGCTTTTGCCAGCGGCGCATTTCGGCATTTGTGCGCATGGCGGACGACTGCGACTGCGTGCGCGGAGGCTGGGAGTCGCGGCGTTGTTTTTTTGTGTGTGGGGGGGGCATGCGAAGTGGGCGTTCTTCGCGCTCCAGGGCGGCGTTCGGCCCGCTGCGAGACGCGACGGGGCGGGCTGGAAGCCGTCGGGCGCCGAGCGCACAGGGGGGGGTGGACGACGATTCTTTTTCAGGGCAGTGGTTCTTGTTATACTTTGGGTGCTGGGCAGAAGTGGTTCAAAGGTCGGGCCCGACCTCGGAGGGCGCGAACGTCCACCCATGTTTCAGATGAGACATACAGAAAAACAGGTTTGCATTTGCTAGATCCAACTACGTGGAAGCCAGAAACTCACAAGGATTAGGAGGACTACTGCGCACCATGCGAAACGCTGGCTTCGATTCCAGATCACGCCACTCATTTTCAGATGCTGTCAGCGTTGGAAAAGAAATCAAACAAGGAAGGAAGAGTGCTTGCGACTGACGTCGAAGTTGGGGCTGGATGGCCACTGGAAAATAATCGTTTGGAAGCACGCTGCACGCTTCCGCGCGCAATGGATCGCGAAAGCATTTCCAAGTTTCCGCCCCTATGACCTTTGGAGGTCCCAGAAACAAATCATGGCAAACAGGGGGCGCCCTCTGTTCGACTGGGAGGTTCTTGGCATCGGGATAGAATCGACCAGGCTTGATTTTAGACGCACGTTACACCAGGGGACAATGCAAGATGTTTGGGGGACGTGCATCTGGCACATGGCGTTGACCGATGCAGTCACCTCTGGAGCTGCAGCTGAAGAGGACCAAGTGAGACAGACGACGCCTCATCTCATGGCTGGCGCTCGCAGGTAGCGCCCTGGATACGAAGGGATTGACTGGGAAGCGAAGTATAACATCCCCGCAGGAGGAGGAGAAGGAGGAGGAGGAGCGGGGCCTCGCTGGCGGATCAGGCCGATGGGGGTTTGTCGGGGGCGAGGGGCAAAACACTGACATCATGCGTGCCTCGGGGCGCTCCCGCTCGAGAAGAGAGGGGCCGTCGCTCGCGTCGGACGCCTTGCGCCAGGCATGCTGGGAAAGCTAAAGCGGCCCGCGCGGACTCTCAGAGCAGCAGGAACTACACGTTTGCCCCATTTCGCCTTGAAGTTCTTGCGAGAGTTCCGCGAGCGTTTGAACAATATCGTGGGTGCGGCGGCGTTAACTCGAGCCGGCGATGCCAGCGAGGGTTGGATGGGCGCCATCGCTCAGAACCGGGGCCCTCAAACGGGCAACGCGCGATCTGTCGATTCGGACGTCGCTGGAACGCGCCCCCCTTGCGCAATCCCCAGCGCCATTCTTCGCGAATGGTTCCATTGACTCGAAGTCTAAAAAGGGGTCCCAGGTTTCTGCAAACGTATTTCGATCAAGGTTTGAACAGGATAGCCGATGGCATCGCCAATCGGCGCCATGGGCTAACTGGCAGGCCCCGCACGCTCTACCTTTTTCCAATTACTGGGGCACCCTGTGGCGCGTTTTCATTTTACGGTACACAAATCGTAACCTACTTTAAGCGTTGTCCTGCTTCGCAAGACAGGCGGGTTTCCCCCCCCCTCCTGTTCACGGAGCGAGCGGCGACCCAATCTATTGTTCGCGCCTTCCTACTTCATGTGTCTACGTACCCATTTCTTCCGACTGACGTGTATCCCCATGATGCTCATCATCATCCGCATCATCATCATCATCATCAATAACATACCCACCATCATTAGTCTCTTTCACCGTTCCCACCATCATCAGCATCATCATCATCATCTTCATCATCATCATCGTCATCATCATCATCACCATCATACGCATCATCGTCAACAAATGTGTCATAATCTGCGGCATCGTCGTCAGCGTCAGCATCATCAGCATCGTCATCTTGATCACCATCGTTGTCGTCATCATCGTAAAGATGGTTGTCGCCATCAGTGTCGTCACTATCACCGTCGTCAGCATCGTCATCATTCATCATCATCGCCAGCACACTCATCGTCGTCGTCATTATCGTGATCATCATCATTGTCATCCAGATAACCATCATGAACATCGTCGTGACAGTCATCTTCATCATCGTCGTCATCACCAACAGCATCGTCATCTGTATCGCCATCGTCACCATCACCTTGTCATTACCATTATCATCATCGGCATCGTCAACATCATGACCACTATCATCACCAGCACCATCACCATCATCACCATCATCGTCCTCACCATCGCCATTATCATCAGTATCATCGTCGTCATTACCATCGTCATCATCATCATCATCACCATCATGATCATCATAGTAAGCATCATCATCATAGTCAGCATCGTCATCATCGTCATCGTTAGTGCTTGCTATTTCCAGTGTCATTGTCGCTGTCATCTTCCGAGCCAGGTCGATCTAAGAAGGTTTTGGGACCCGGAACCAGGCGGACGCGCCCGTTGCAAGCAAAACCGCATCGTTTGGATTGGAGGGCCGTGTCGTCGGGAATATGGGCGAGCGACGGTCGGCAAGCCGCGCGCCAGAAGCCCCCCTTTGCCGCGCGTCATTGTCATCAGCATCGTCGTCATCCCCATCGTCATCATCATCAGCATTATCATGGTTGTCGTCATCATTGTTGTCATTGGCAACATCGTCATCATCATCACCATCATCACCATCACCAGCATCGTCATTGTCATCGTCATTGTCGTCATCGTCATCACCACGGTCATCAACATTGTTATTGTCATTGCCATTGCCATTGTCATTGTCATTGTCACTGTCGTCCTCGTCGTGTCGTCGTCTTCGCCGTCGTCGTCATCATCATTAGCATCATCATCTTCATCCTCCTCCCCCTCCTCCCCCTCCTCCCCCTCCCCGTCCTCCTTCCCTCATCATCGTCATCAGCCTCATCATCGTCATCATCATCATCCTCATCATCATGATCATCATGATGATGTTCATCATCATCATCCTCATCATCATCCTCATCATCCTCGTCATCATCATCCTCATCATCATCATCATCATCATCATCATCATCATCATCCTCATCCTCATCCTCACCATCATCATCATCATCCTCACCATCCTCACCATCCTCACCATCCTCATCCTCATCATGGAGCCCCCCCCCACCCCTGCCGCGGGGGCCCCTCCCCGCGCCCGGCCGCCAGGAGGAGCACGGCCGGGAGCCGCCCGCGCCCGCCACGGCGCTGCCCCCGCCGCCGGCCGCGGCCCTCAAGGCCCCGCGGCGGATCCCCGCTCCGGCCCGAATTGGGCACGGTAGGCCAGATTTCGTAATAAAAGGGAGGGGGTCTGGGGTCTCAACCCTCCCAGACGAGAAGTTTTAGACCCCCCCCCTGGGTACTCCAGATTTCGTAATAACAGGGAGGGGGTCCGGGGTCTCAACCCTCCAAGACAAGCCATTTCAGACCCCCCCCCGTGGGAGAACCCCCCAGAACACCGTCCCCAGACCCCCCCAGGCCCTCCAAGATGGCCTGGAAGAGACCCCCCCCCCAAATGAGACCCCCCTCCCTTTATTACGAAATCTTGAGTACGGTAGGCCAGCGTCGTGTCGACCGGCGGCGACCCCGCCAGCGGCGTGCAACGTTGAACGCCGCGGGCGACCCAGAATCGTTCGATGTGGAGCGATTTGGACGTTTCGGAGGCGCCCGATCGTTCGAGGTTGAGCGATCCCCGCGGTGTCAGGAACCAACGCCAGGGTCGCCACGACACGAGCCTGCCGTACGGAAAGAAGGGGCGCGATGCCCAACAGCGGATCGTGTTCATTTTGAACAGGGCTCGCTGTCCGCGCCGCCGCGGCCTGTGTCCATTCGAGACAGAAGGCCGCCCGCCCAACAGCGGCCGCTGTGGGTTTGGGACAACATTTGCTGTTGGGCACTGTACCCACTCCTTCCGTACCCACTTCGGGCGTCCAAATCCCCGCGCCGGCCCTGGCGGCGCCGAGCCTCGAGATTCGGCGGAGGGCCGTCTGAGGTGCCGTCCGGCCGTGGCGAGGCGTCCCGGCTCGCCTATAGCCCTACCAGGCCATGTTCTAAGAGCCGATTGTGGTTCCCACGGCATGTTCTCAGAACATTTCTGGCTGGGAGTGTCTGGTTCTAACACATCGGCTTAATGTTCTAAGTACGTTGGTTCTGCCATAAGATCGGGGGTGGACAGACCTCCTACCCTGACACGTCGATTCAGGAATTGGCCGTTTTCGGTTCGCGAGAGGGCGTCGCGGCCGTCATTTTTGCGGGTCCATGTCCGTCGGTTTCGGTCCCAGGCCGATTTCATTAAGGGGAGGTCTACTAAAGGGAGGTTTGTCCAGCGCCGATAAGAGCAGTTTTGGGGTTCTAAGAGCATGTCGCGGTAGGGCTATACGCATGCCGGGACGGTCGGTCCCTGCTCCATGCCGGTCGTGCGCCTCCAGGGAGGGCCCCCGTCGCCGGGGCTGGGCGCAGCTCGGGGAGCCGGTGCGAGTGGTCCCCATGCAGGGGTCGAGCAGGGGATCGACGGCAGAGCTGATGTGCCCCAAACTTGATTTCCGACCTCGAGTGTAGGACGAATGCATTACTACAGATTTCGTAATAAAAGGGAGGGGGTCTGGACCCTCCAAGACAAGCCATTTCAGACCTCCCCCGTGGGAGAACCCTCCAAAACATCGTCCCCAGACCCCCCAGGCCCTCCAAGATAGCCTGGAAGAGACCCCCCCCGAAATGAGACCCCCCTCCCTTTATTACGAAATCTGGAGGAGTTCTTCGCAAATCAGCTGGGAAACCTAAATTTTTGACCGCAGGTTCGACGAGAAAGTCAATGTTGGGGTAAATCAATGCTGTCGTCGATCCCCTACTCGAAAGAGGGGTCCCGGGAAGGATTTTGAGCCGATCTCTCAAGTCGCCCTTCTCCGAAGGTGGGAATCGGCGATGCGGCTCGATGTGAAGCGTGCCAGGCGGGGCCTCGCATTCGATGATCGAATCGGCTGGCATCGCTTCCTCGGCGGAAAGGTGGCGGAAGCCCGCAGAGGTAGAACGAGGCCGCCTCCGCCGGCGGCAGGCTGGCGGAAGTAAAAGAAGCACTTCCAAAAGATGGCAATTCTTTGAGTTCAGGGTTTTGCAGAACCCGCCGTGTGGATCCCGATGTTGTCTTCGCCCACGTCGTCGATGCATCGCCCGCGTCGCAATTGCATTGGCGATGCGGCGCGATCGTCTGACTCCATCTGCCTGGACTTTATTTGGGAGGTCTCTAGATCCTCGGCCAGGGATCGGTGCATATTCGCAGAAGGGCAACATCAAACCTACACAAACGTTATAGAGAGCCGCGCGGATTTCTTGGGTCTGCGCTGGACCCACGTGGCGCGGCTTCGAGCGCGCGAAGCGCGCCAGCCAATCTCAGAAATCCGCCCGGGTCCTCAGTGTTTGGTTGATCTCGTATTCTTATAATTCTGTTCAGTCCTTAATCATTATTCTGCGGTGTATACAGACGCAGATTCATCTATGTACAGTTAGTTTATATATATCTATCTATATATAAATAAAGATACGCACGCGTTACACGCGTTCCTCGCTTTGCCAGTGGGGCATGCACATCGTTCCTGGGCCCAGGATCGCCCCGACAAGGATCGGCGAGGAGGGCAGTGGACGTCCCCGGCAGGTCGCCAAGGCGGCCGCCCCCGCCGCTGCTGCCCCCAAGGCCGCGGGCAAGTCAGCGCCTGGCAAGGCCGCGCCCGCGGCCAGCGCCTCTGGCAGCGGCAAGGTGAAGAAGGTTATTCGGCGTGAAACACTGGAGGGAACACGGAGGAGAAATGAGCCATGATTCTGATCCGTTCCAGAACTTCAGGTTTTCCCGCTCCGCAGGCACTCCAAGTTGATTACCAGTGCCGCTAGATACTCCAGAACTCCTGGGATGTATCTTGAGCCAATCGTACCATGATATCAATCTCGTCCTAGAAACGGATCTGGGAGTTTTGTCGACATACTCGGGCTCCGTGGGGTTCCCCTTGGGCCCGAACGGCCATCAAGAGAAGGCTCGGGGATGCGTGGAGGAAGCCCAGGGTGCAGAACCCGTTTCTCAGAAGAGCGAGGCGTCAGGATAATGATGCGTTCCAAGATTTCCAAGATCCTGCATTGTTCCGCGCGAGCTCCTGAAACGAGGGACGTTAGATATGGCGGAGCTTTTGCAACATACTCGGAGCCAATCACATCAGGACATCGTTCTTGTCCCTGATGGCAAGACGCGTCGGTGCGCGAAGAGGGATGGCGGCTTTCTCAGCAGGCAAGGGGCTCTTCAGGCTTAGAAGCCCTCCTGACCTCTACGAAGCCCTCTCCCAAGCTCTCGATCCATTGCCACAGGAAAGCTGCATTCTTGAAGTCTGACCCCCTCGCCCCACCCCATGCTGGAGGGCGCCAGCTGTACATCTGCAACGATGCTGGCCAGGCCCATCACTGGGCCCGGGATCGGTGTACAGGCCGCATTTGGGAGAGGGCACCTCCCCCGATCCATGGATTTGGCGACCGCGCGCCAAATCCATGGTCGCTAATCCGTGTTTGCGCCCCCCCGAAAGAAGGGAGGAGGAGGAGGAGGAGGAGGAGGAGGAGGAGGAGGAGGAGGAGGAGACCTGCGCTCCTTCCCGGCCAGGCCAGGAGGGCGTACACAGACGTGCGACGCCTGGAGCTTTTGCAGCACAAGTGCCGACACCCTCCCCGGGACCCGTTTCCCTCCCGAGTCGTTGTCTGACGGTCCATGGGCCCGGCGGGGGCCCGGGGAGGCCGAGCGCGACGGGCACCCCGCCCCGACGTTGCTCACGACGCCGAGGCTGCCGGGCCTGGCGAGAAGTCGGGCCTGTCCTCCAACCGTCGGGGGTGGACAGACCTCCTACCCTGACACGTCGATTCAGGAATGGGCCGTTTTCGGTTCGCGAGAGGGCGTCGCGGCCGTCATTTTTGCGGGTTCGGGTCCGTCGGTTTCGGTCCCAGGCCGTTTTCACTAAAGGGAGGTTTACTGCAGGGAGGTTGGTCCACCGCCGATACAGAGGGGTTTGGGACGAAAAATTAAAAATAGGTTAACAAAAATCCAAATGGCAACAAAAAACGACTCGAAACATCGCCCCCGGACTATTGTTTGAGTACTTTTGAGCATTCCCCCTTTAGGGGGACAGGCCCGACTCAAGCCTGGCGCTCTCCCGCCCCGTGCGCGCCGCCACAGGTCGGCGCCAACGAGCAGTGCCCGTGCGGCAGCGGCAAGAAGTACAAGAAGTGCCACGGCGGAGCCTGACGCCCGCGGCGCCGTCGGGAGGCGGCCCAGGTCACTCGGGCCGGACGAAAGGGGGGGGATTGGGAAAGGGGGGGTTACGAAGTCTGCTGCACGCAGCTGGTTTCGGCCCCGCGGCCGGGCCCATTCCTCGATGCATATGTCGGCGGGGGGCCCGGGGAAATGAGAAGGAGTAGGCCTTCTCAGAAGGCCGCGGGACTTCTTAGAAGTCCGGGGGACTTCTGAGAGGTCTCCTTAGCCTATTTCGAATACAGACTGAACTTCTCAGAAGCCCTCTCAGACGTCCGGAAACTTCTCAGAAGCCTCGGAGGTCCCGCCCCTTCTCATTTCCCCCCCGCGCCCGCCGCCGAATATGGGCGCCTCCCGGCGCCGGGAGGCGCTGGGAAAGTCAGCCACGTGAGCTGATTCTCAAAGCCCCCCCTTTGCTATCCCCCCCCCTCTCGCCTGGCCCAGGTCACGGTGACCGTGGGCTCGGATGTGCCATCCCTCCCGCAAGGGTCTGAGGTGGCCCAGCACCGGTTCCGGCCAGCAGGGAGGGCGGGCGGGCTCGAGGCTCTGGCTTTGGGAGGGCTGCTTGGCCTCTTCGGCCTCTGGGAGCCGTCGCTGGGCCTTGGGATTGCGAAGGGCGCCTCCGAGGAGAAAGACTGCACCAGATGGAGGTCGATGTTGAACGCGTTTGGCTTCATCCCCCCTCCTGGCTTCTTCTCTAGGGTCCCAACCCGTTCCGGCCCTCTGGCCACAAGAGGGGGCCTGGGATCGTGGGCGAGCAGCACATCCGCGACCGCGGCCTCGCGTGCCGGGTCCCGGGGTTCGCGACGCCAGGACACGGGGAGTCGTGTCGCGGACGTCCAGGCTGAGCGACCGCGTGGTGCGCGTGGGATCGTCGAGGGCGGCCAAGAGGGGGGTTGATGAGTAAGGGGGGGGGGGATATCCTGGCGAGGGCCATGAGATCCCCCCAGATTTGAGGGCGCCTCTTCTTGTGTCAATGCGTCCCCGCCCCCCCCCCCCCCTGGGCCGCGCACATGCCGCCGGCCACGACTTGTGCCGGCCATGATTTGCGCCCACTCTTGGCCGCCCCCGGGCGCGGGATCGCGCTCCGGAGTCCAGCCCGCGAGGGTGCGGAACCGATACGCTTGCCGCTCACGGCCACATTCTTGCCCAGTCCCCGCACTCCCCTGCTCTCGAGGAGCGCAGCATCGTACGCATGGCGTGGTCCTACACGACCACCTTGCGGGTGATGGAGAGGTTGGGTGGGGGGAATACAACGACGCGAAGATCGGGACAAAGTCGTATCGGGATAATTCGAAATCTCTGAGAATCGGCGGGTTTGGAGGATGTATTGGGCGCCGCGGCCGCTCCAGAGCGTTCCGGAACGCTCTGAGAGCGCTCCGGAACGCTCTGGAGCGATTTATCCCGATCCTAGCCCTGTTTTAGTAGGGGATTAACTGGTGACACTTGCGACGGGGCACCATCGGGACACCACGGGGACAGATGAATGCCACCACTGGGACACCGTCAGAGCACCGTCGGGACACCACTGTGGTCCATCCGGCCAGGATGTGTCTATATCGATCTCATGGCCTGCCTCGCTATGGATCTCACTATCGATCTCGCTATCGACCCCTCTATCGATCTCACTCTCTGCTTATCGATCTCGCGATCGGTCTCACCATCGATCTTGCCATTTGTTTGTCGCTCCCACGATTGGTCTCAGTATCGACAGATCGGTCTCACGATTGACCGCACTATCTCGCAATCAATGTCAGTATACGTGTATCGCTCTCACTGTTGAACTCACCATTCGGTCAGTCTATCAATCAATCAGTCTCACTATCAATCGGTCGCAGTATTCATCTCACCGTCGATCCCACTACCTATTTATCCAATGTCGATATGATTATCGATCGGTCTCCCTATCAATCGATTTCTCGATCTATCGAATTTCCAAGTGTCACCGTCGGGGCACCATCAGAACAACATCTAGACATCATCGGGACACCATCGGGGCACCATTGGGGCACCATGAGGACACCATCGGAACACCATCGAGGCATCATCGGGACACCATCGGAACACCATCGGAACACCAACGAGACAACATCGGAACACTATCGTAATATCATCGGGACACCGTCGGGAAACCATCGGGACACCATCGGAACACCATGTGGACACCATCGCGATATTATCGGGACACAGTCCGAACATCGAGACACCATCGAGACGCCATTGGGACAGCATCGGGACACCATCGGGACACCATCGGGACACCATCGGGACACCATCGGGACACCATCGGGCCACCATCGGGGCACCATAGGGCCATAGGGACACCGTCGGGGCACCATCGGGACACAGTCGGAACACCGTAGGAACACCATCGAGACAACATCCGAACACCATCGGATCACCATCGAAACACCATCGGGACACCATCGGGACACTATTGGAACACCATGTGGACACCCCCTGGATGCTGCCAGCCCCTGGATGCTGCCAGCCAACCGGGGAGGGCGCAGCATCATTGGACCCATACTCGCCCCAGCCAACGGCGGAGTTATTCCGCTTGCTCGCACACGCATTTTCGCTTCGCCCGACCGCACGACACGACCATGTCGCCGAAGCAGATTTCCCACCTTGATCGGCGCATATTCCTCGGTTCGGCGTTGGACCCCCTGTCCGCCACCCCTGGCGGCGCCTCTAGCACGGCCACCAGCGAGCTACAGCGCGCTCGGGAAGTGTGGGCAGGTGGTTCGAGAGCCGACCCAAGGAATCCGCGCGGTCCTCTGACATTTTCTGTGTGTGCAGTCTTTGCTATTCGCGTTTTTCATTCCCGGGCGATAACGGGCGTTACCAGGAGGGGAGGGGGGCAGGGGGCCAATATCCTCACGTTTCGCGCCAGCGCCGTTTGGGAATACCTTGAAAGAACCAAAGACACAGCGATGGTCAGCACGAATCGTGACGTCATTGGGGGGGAGAGGGCGGCCAGGACAGGCAACGACCGTTTTTGCCGAACATAACTTGTTCTCTCTACAGTGCCGTTTGTAATACCTGCTCCGCGTGCGGATCATGTATTACAAATGAAGGGATTTAGTATTAAAAACAGCGATGAGTTCATGCCTACACTTAGTCATACATTGATCATGTATCCACATCCTATATTTAAGCGAATCCCATGTATTAAAACCTGCCCTGTGTGCCCACGAGGGGCACACTTGACGTCCGCGTTTCCCTGCGCCCTCCACCTGGCGGCCACTCGGGGCTGGGTGGGCTGCGGGGGCAGATCGTTGCCCCACGGTGCTTGACCCGCCTATACTCAGGAGGGAGAAAATAACACAGACACAATGAATCGACGATTCCCAAGAAAATATAAGAAAATGTGGGAAGCGTAGGGGAAGGCAAAAGCCCAGAACACATAGAAACATATGGGGAATCCTGTTGTTTGTGTGAATTTGTGTGTGTGTGTGTCCCAGGGCCCCTTCATATACGATCACCCTTCGGGTGATAAGGAGGTGTGGGGGGGGGGGGGGGGAAAAACCAGCTGCTGCCCAACGCGATGGGTGTGATGATGACGATGCCAGTGACGCGCCCTCGAGTTGGCGGCGACGCGTGACGACAATGTCGCGCTGCGATGTAGTGTCACTGTCGTCTCCGCTTTTCTATCTCACAGCCAATGTCACAGTCAACCTCACTGTCGATCTCACTTTTGATCTCACTATCCATGCTATTCTAGCGATCTCATTCTCGATCTCACTATCGGCTTCACTATCGATACCACGGCGGGACACCCCCGGCCACCGCCCGCCTACCGCCAACGGAACACCGACGGGACACCAACGGAACACCAGCAGAACACCACAGGACACCACGGTTGGACTTTCCAGACCACCGCGCGCCCACCGGGGGCGGAGGGGCGGTCGATTGCATCCGAATCGCCCTAGCGACGGCGGGGTCATTCCTCTCGCTCGCCCACGCAGCTTCGCCTCGCCCGCACGCACGACGAACACGAAACTGCAACCGACTTCCCTGTGGGGGGCTCTCCGTTCATAGCCCTACCAAACAATGTTCTAAGAACCTTTTTGTGGTTTCCACGAAATGTTCTTAGCACATTTCTGGCGGAAGATGTCTTGTTTTGTCACATTGTGTTAATGTTATGAGAACATTGTTTTCGTTCTTAGAACATTTTCTGCGTTCTAAGAACATTTCGTGGTAGGACTATAGAAATGCAGGGACGGTCGGTCCCTGCTCAAGATAGGCATATGGCATAGGGGGGGATGCATCGAGACCCAATCGCCAATCGATCGCAGACAGGGCCCTGATAGCCCCAACCTGCCCAGAGAGCTGCGGATTCACGATCGGGGACCTATCTCCGACCTATCGGCGATGCATCGCCGATTCCAGGTCGATGCATCCCCCCTATGCCAGTCTCCCCCACTGTCGTTGCCTCCCAGCTGCCGACTCTAGTAGTGAATCCAAGTTTTACGGGTTCGATCATGGGCCCCTTGTTAAACGCAAGCGTCTAGCTTTCACGCCGAAGACCGAGGGAGACCGCCAAAGACCGCGGGGAACCGCCGAAGACCCCACCGAAGACCGCCAAAGACCGCCAAAGACTGCACGAGGCAGATGGGTAGCAGGGGTTGGGCCGAACGAAATACGAAATCTGCTGCACGCAGCTGGTTTCGGCCCCGCCGCCGGGGCCAGTCCTCGACACTTGGGCGCCTCCCGGCGCCGGGAGGCGCTGGGAAAATCGGCTGCGCGAGCCGATTCACCATCCTGCCCTTGGCTGTCCACCTCTTACTCAAGCAGTGGCGAAGCGTCCCGGCTCGCCTATAGCCCCACCAAACAATGTTCTGAGAACCTTTTGTGGTTCCCACGAAATGTTCTTAGAACAGTTCTGGCGGAGTCTGTCTTGCTTTAACACAGGGGGCTGATGTTCTAAGAGCATTGTTTTTGTTCCTGGAACATTTTTGGGGTTCTGAGAAGATTTCGTGGTAGGACTATAGGAACGCCGGGACGGTCGGTCCCTGCTCAACTTGCGTTCCCCCCCCGAAGTGGGGCCCATGGTCGAGTGCGCAGCAGGGCCGAGCCCCAGCGACGGGGAGGGGCAGAGCGGCGCGGCAGTGCGCCCGCCCTCGCATGGCGCGCAGAGCAGGCAGGGCGCGGGCCCGCCTGCCCAGCAAGCCGCGCTCGAGAGAGGGAGAAGAGCGCGCGCCGGGCCCCTGGCTGCTGCCGTGCGGGAGGGTCGGGCCGGACGAAAGGAGGGGATTTGGAAAGGGGGGGTTACGAAATCTGCTGCATGCACCTGGTTTCGGCCTCACCGAGGGGCCCATTCCTCGATACATGGCCGCCTCCGGCGCCGGAAGGCGCCGGGAAAATCAGCTACGTGAGCTGATTCTCAAACCCCCCCTTTGCTATCCCCCCCTTTCGCCCGACCCGAGAGGGGGTTTGTGGACCTCCCGCCCTCCCCTCGAGGAAGAGGATTCGAGCAGGGGCGAGGCGTCCTGGCTCGCCCACAGGCCTAGCGAAGAGTGTTCCAAGAACCCTCTTGTGGTTTCCGCGACATGTCCTCGGAGCATTTCTGGCTGCTGTCTTGCTTTAACACGTCGGGATTGTGTGCTAAGAACATGGTTTCTGTTCTTCGAAGATTCTTGGGTTCTACGAACATGTCCTGGGAGACCTATTAGGAATGCCAGGACGGCCGGTCCCTGCTCAAAGGATGATGCGTCCTCTGGGTCTTCGACGCCTTTCCCACTTTTTGGTCCTCTTTGACGGTTTTCGTCGCCACAGCCGCATCCGCTTCGGAATCTCGGTCAGAACTCACCTCAGGAGATGTCGGGGGGGATCGACTTTCGAGGACGTGGTTGTTCCTTGAGGCCCCACTGGGAATCTCAGCTCATTCTTGGAAGTTATAGGTTAGTTCCTTGCCTGACGTTCCTTCGTTCCTATGCTTTCGGCCCTGTCTCTCATGCGCCGTCCGTGTCCTCTCCTCCGACACCTCGCCCTGTCTGCTCCCCCATTCCCCCTTCTCTCTCCCTCGTCCGCACGCCTCCTCCCGTGTCCATCCCCTCCTCATTCTTCTCCTCCTCCATCTTTTCCATCTCCACACCCTCCCTCCCTCCCTCCCCCAGAAGAAGAAAAACCACAGACACATGAACTTTTGGCGCTCCGCGCGGATCTCTTGGATCCACTCCTGGGCCCCCCGGCGGCGCCTCCGGCGCCGCCCCTGGCGCGCTCCGCGCGGGGGGGGGCGCTGGGGCCGGCTCCCTCGGCCCAGAATAGGGGGCCACATGCGAATCCGACCCCCTACTCCCCACGATTTCTGAGGGGGGGGGGGGGTCACTTCGTTCGGGAGTTCCGAAGTGAAATGAACCCCACCCTCCCCCTCAGAAATCGTGCGGGGTAGGGGTAGGGTTCGCATGTGGCCCCCTACAGAAGTAGGTCGGGCGTGTCCCTCTACAGGACGAGTATTCAAGAACAGTCACAAAATAGTTCGGGCACCATTTTCGGAGAATTCGTTAAATATCTTGGTGTGTTTGGGTTTTTTGTCCATGCATATGTTTCGTTCAAAATCCTCCTGTAGGGGGACATGCCTGACCTAATTGTAAGAGGCCACATGCGAACCCTACCCCACCATCCCACGATTTCTACGGGGGGGGGTGGGGTTCACTTCGCTCGGGGGGTCCCGAACAGAGTGAACCCCACCTACTCCCTTAGAAACCGTGAGGTTGTGGGGTAGGGTTCGCATGTGGCCTGCTAGGGTTTTTCTTCTTCGCTCCGCAGGTCTGGACGGGGAGGTGGCACAGGTGGTGGGCATTTGCTCCACGACCGCAGGGTCGCATCGAGTCCCCCCGCAGGAGTACTTTTGCGCCCCCTCTTTGTCCTCCCTTTGGATTTCCGCCGCCGAGCGAGGCGGCACCGGCCGCATCTGGGGGAGGGCACTTCCCCCGATCCATGGATTTGGCGACCGCGGATCGCCAATCCATGTTTGCGCGCTCCCGAGCGACGTTGCTCAATTTTGCTCTGGTTTCGCTGTGGCTGGCTCGCTTGAGGCGGAGGGACCAGCGAAAGGGGGAGGGAGCGGCGACGGGCCCAAGGCAAGGGGGGTCAGACGCGACGACGACGACGACGACGACGACGACGACGACGACGACGACGACGACGACGACGACGACGACGACGACGACGACGACGACGACGACGACGACGGCGGCGACGACGACGACGACGACGACGGCGGCGGCGACGACGACGACGTCGACGACGACGACGGCGACGGCGGCGGCGGCGACGACGACGGCGACGGCGGCGACGACGACGACGTCGAGTCAAACAGAACAGCGTCTTCCACACGCCAACAGGGTCGGCGGATTTTAGCCAGTGCCAAACTGCGATCGTCATCTGCAGTGGTCCGCTCCATTCGCAAAACGAGCAAGACCGATCCTTAATTTTCTCAGAGCTTTCTGGAGCGCTCTGGACACGGCCGCGACCCCTGGTGCGTCCTCTAGATTTGCTAACTCGCAGTCAGAGATTCCCGAGTTGTCCCATGGCGCCAACATCGCAGAGCGGTTTTCGTTCGGATTTCAATTGGATGGACCCGGAGAGTCCTGGAGAATGTCGCTCCGGATTTCGAAGCGGATTGGTTTAGGCCAGGGATGAAGACTTAACAACAAATCACGCGAAAATCACTTCGTTTTTCACTCGCCGTTTCGGGGTTTGCATTGACAGAAATCCACGCAAAACAAATCCGCTGCATCATGTCTGCAAGGTCGATGCAGTGAGTTTGTTTTCATTGGAGCTTATCCCCATCCTGCCTTCGTCTTATCATCGGAGGCCATGGTCTTGCGTGCCTGTAAGAAGGCTTACCTCCCCTGCGCTCCTCTGCCATCTCTGGAGGCGGCCACATCGCACGTCGAGAGACAGACGAGCAGGAGGAGGAGCAGGAGGAGGAGGAGGAGGAGGAGGAGGAGAAGGAGAAGGACGACGACGACGACGACGATGACGACGCCGACGCCGACGCCCGACTGCCTCTTGAAGTCTCCGCAAGTTCCTGCAAGCGCCTGGAAGCCCTCGCAGGCCCCACAGTGGACCTCCAAGCCGCCCACAAATTATCTCGGTCCCCGATCGCCTCGGGGCGAGCACGGCGGCGAGGAGCGACGGCTGCAGCCGCGACGGCAGCGGCGACGGCGACGGCGCCGACCACGAGGACTGCGACAACGTCGGTGACTACGAGGACGACAACGGCGGCGACGAACGACGAGCGACGACGACGGAAGCGGCGGCGAAGGCAGCGACGGCGGCGGCGGCGGCGGCGGCAGCGGGCGACGGCGACGCGCCCGGGAGGCGTCCGCCGCGGTCGGGCGGTGCGAGGAGCGGCGCGGCTCGCCCCGTGCGGCCGCTGCGAGAGGGGAGGGAATTCCAAGGGAAACGCAAGACTCGAGTACAGTCAACCCCGATAGTAATGATGGGCAACCTTCCCAAGGGTACTCCAGGTTTCGTAATAAAGGGAGGGGGGTCTCATTTCGGGGGGGGTCTCTTCCCGGCTATCTTGGAGGGCCCGGGGGGTCTGGGGACGATGTTTTGGAGGGTTCTCCCACGGGGGAGGGTCCAGACCCCCTCCCTTTTATTACGAAATCTGGAGTACCCTTGCATCCTTGCCTCCTCGGTTCAACCTTTGCCACTTTCGTTGGCCGCGCCCCGCTCGAAAAGCGTTCACACGGGCCTCCTCCAAGGCCCTTGCATCCTTACCACGCACCCTTGAGACAGGTTGACTGTACGCCGGAACTCGTATTCGCCCACGCTGTTTGGGCAGCCCGTCCTGAGTTTTGACGGTCCAGTTTTCGTGGGATGTCTGCAGCGGGAGCCCGCGTCAAGTTTCAGGTTCGGTCGCGTCGTTTTCATGATGGTCCCGTCGGGCCAACCCGAGTCCCCCTAATCCGAGGCTTACACCTCCCCAAAAGGAGAGGGGTCTTGATTTGATCAGGAGCTGACAAGCCAGCACCCAGACCAGTGCGACCCACAGAGTTCTCGTGGTTGAATGCTTGTGAGGGGGGGGAGTGCTGTGGCTGTGCATTGTCGAATGGGGGTTCGAGCCCCCCTCGGGGCCCGACGATTCGCACCCAAACTTCCAGCGCCTTCGAGGCCGCGCCCTTCCCCAATGCTTCCCTGTAGGTTTGAGTGCATTTGGTTCTCTCGCCATCTTCAGGGAAGGCGCGGCAGCGGGGAAATCAGTCGAGCTCACATCGGGCACGCAAAAACGGCTACACACGTCGCGGCGAGAGTCGGCAATTGACCTCTTGCAGCAGCGGGTGTGTGGCCCAGCAGCCGTTCGGCAGCCGACGAGCGAGCCTGCAGGAGTGTGGCTTGCGATCGGCGCCTTCGCGGTGCGAGGGTTCACAGCGCTGAGCCAATGGTTTGATGAGCCCTCGTCGGTGCAAGGCAGAGACCTCTGTCGAGGTCCGGGGTGCCGAGACTGAACGAAGATTGAGTCGTCGGAGGTCTGGGACTTTGGCGGCGTGCAGGAAGGCCACTGTCGGGCGGAGCTAGGACGAGGATAAATCCGTTCGATAGCGTTCCGGAACGCCCTCAGTCAGAGCGTGAATTACCTACCCCGCTTTCGCTTCCAGACAAAACCAAGTCATACCACGCGCCTCCTCGTCAAGCGGCCTGACCAGTACAGGCCGTAGTCTGGCATCGCTTGGTATCTCTTGGAAGCGAGGGTGGTCAAAAGCGAGGTAGGTTTGTTTGCCCCCTACTCAGGGCGTTCTGGAGCGCTCTGAGAAGGCCGCGGCGCCCGAGACCGAGGGAGCCCCTCGGGGTGGCGCCGAGGGAGGGCGGGCCCCTCGCCAGAGGTGCCCCTGGTCTAGGATCCAGGGCAGACGAGATGGGGAGTAGAGATCTCCACCTCCTCCTCCTCCTCCTCCTCTTCCTCCTCCTCCTCCTCCTCCTCCTCCTCCTCGGAACCTGGAACAGATAAGTACATTATCGGGGGTAGATAGACCTCCTACCCTGACACGTCGATTCGTGAATTGGCCGTTTTCGGTTCGCGAGAGGGCGTCGCGGCCGTCACGTTTACAAATCCGTGTCCTTCGGTTTCAGTCCTAGGCCGTTTTCACTAAGGGGAGGTCTACTAAGGGAGTTTTGTCCACCGCCGAGGGAGTAGAGATCGAGCATCATGTTCGGAAACTGGAACAAATACATTACCAGTGGCGGGCTGCTGTTCAATCCCAGGACTTTTTTGAGGGTCGGGGACGACGCTGGGGTGGTGTGGTGTACATTTTTTCTCCGATGTCTCGGCGGAACAACGAAAAGTGTATACACCAGGGTCCCGTATACACCAGGATCCGCTCTCCAGTGCAAATGTCAATGCAGGGCGGGAAAAAAACGTCGGTGTATAGAGTCCGATCCCCCACAAGTGGGGTGTTCCCAAAACAGGGCATGGCTTTCGAGGGCAGCAGGAGTTGTCATCTCTTCCTCGTCAGAAGGCTGGCGGAAGGCGAGAGAGGGAGAGAGAAGCCGTGCACGACAGGTGCGCAAGCAGAAAGGGTGACCGTGCATGGTACACTGCTCCGATGATCAGTGGCACTGCGTGGCAAGCCGCTGTGTTGCCTTATGGCGGTCTGGCAGAAGCGACGAGGACAGCGCCGAGGGCGAGGTGGAGGCCGGCGGAAGTAAAACGGCGTCGGCTTCGCTGGCGGAAGCCGGCGGAAACTCGGGTCGTGGCCTAGCTCTCGTGGGTGCGGGGTGCGGGGTCGTGGCCTAGCTCTCGTCCTGCCCTCAGCGCTCCCGTTCGGGCCCGACCTCTCGATGTGAATAGCCATATCGTGCGCCGACCTTCGGTGGATTTTACCCTAGGCCCCTCACGAAGCGTCCCTCTGAAGGCTCTTGGGGCGCAGTGCTGTGAAAAAAAGGAAGCTCGGTGAAAGCTGGCGGAAGCAAAACTCGAATTCCCAAGAGATGACATCATTTTTGGGTTCAGGGTTTCTGGAGTCGGCCATGTGACGATCGGTCTGAATTCCGTTTCTGGCCAGATAGTTGCGCACACGGTTTAGCACAGGCCGGAGAGCGGGAGAGACGGAGTTGCAGCAGCGTTTCCCCACCTCCGCAGGCATTTGCTTCCCACAGAGGGCCGTGCTAGCAGCACACTGCGCACTGTACACGAGCGTAGAGTCTAGGAAAAAGTCATTGGGATCGTTCGGGAGAATCGGGTAAGTAGGAACCCGAAGTAGGAAGTCGAAAGTAGAGCGGGATCCCGATCGCGTCCTGAATAGGAGGGAGGACAGAAAAGACCATCTCGGCTCTTGTTTCGGGCGGACGCAGAGCAGCTTGGAGTCTGCGAATCCACGTACGGTAGGTTCGTGTCGTGTCGACCCCCGCGTTGGTTCCCGACACCGCGGGGATCGGCCGACCTGGAACGGTCAGCCGTTTCCAAAAACGTCAGATCGTGCAGCACCGACCGCCGGCGGCGTTCGAGGCTAAACGCAGGCGGCGGGGTCGCCGCCAGTCGACGCGACGCGAACCTACCGTACAGTAGGGGTCTTGAAGAAGGAACCCTTCTCGTTGGGGAGGGGCTCGGTGTTCCTTGATTGTTTCAAAGTTTGCCTCGGGTTCTCCTGAGGTTTTCCGTAGGAAATCGAGGTTGAATGTATGGGAGAAAGGGGCCTCGCTCCTTATTTAGGGTTCCTTAGGTCAAGACCCTCACTGTACCCACTTTCAACGAGCAGTGTGGAGAGCTGCGACGGCAGCTGCATGCAGATGTGCTCGGCCCGCCGCTCGGCGCTCGCCTCGATGCGTGAGCGCCTCCGGCGCTCGGACGCGCCGGGGAAGCCGGCCACCATGGGCATCGGGGCTCACGGGATGGAGGTCAATGTATCAGGAAGGAAAAAACACACAGACACAATTAATCGTCGATCCCCCAGAAAATATAGGAAAATATGGGAAGTGGGGGGGAAGACAAAAACCCAGACAATATAGGAAAATATGGGGAATCTTTTTATTTGTATGTATTTTTTATTTGTGTGTCCCAGGGCCCCTTCAATCGGGGCTCACGGGATGGAGGTCAATGTAAACGGTCATGGGCCTGCTTTTCACCACCACCATAGATTGGAGGCGGAGGGGGTCCTCCACCTCCTCCTCCTCCTCCTCCTCCTCCTCGTCCTCCTCCTCCTCTTCGTCCTCCTCCTCGTCCTCCTCCTTCCCCCTTCAACTTCTGGTGGTGGTGGTGGTGGAAAACAGGCCCAGCGAACGGGGGTCAGTCAGAGCACCGCATCTTGCAGGATTCTGCAAAGCCAGTGCTGCATTGACCTGGGCTTGGGCGCAGGATCCTGCAGGATCCTGCACAGCCCGATTGACCCGGGTGTGGATTGGCCCAGGTCAGCAGATTCCCGAGTGCAGCAGATTTTGCCAGCCAACAAAAATATTGGCTCCCGCGCCGCCCTTCGTTCACCCCGGCAGAGGTGGCCCTGGTCCAAGGTGGCCTCCGGCTTCTCAGGGGATGCCTGGACAGGGCTCAGATTTCGACTGTTCTGACCCGATTGGATTCGATATTTCGATCGATTCCGATGCCGATCCTATTTCGGATTCCGATTTTGACTTCGCCCTCTCAGTGGAGGCCTTGTGAGCCTGCCGATCTCCTCCGCTTCGGCTTCTCCCGGCTTGGCTGCCGATCCGCCGATCTGATTCATGTCGGTCGCCGATCCGACGTCTCGATTCGATTTTGGACTCTCCTGTCCCGATGGCCTCCAGAGCACCTCTCGAGGTGGCCGTAGGGGTCCGTGGTGGGCGAGCGAGCATCTCGACAGCGTTGTCCTCGTCCGCGGAGGGTCGAGGTTCGGGGGTCGAGGCTTCGTCCGTCTCGTCGACGTTGCCGACGCCCGCCTCCTCACTGTTTCCCCTGCTGGCAGGGCCTCCGGAGTTTGGGCGGTTGTCATGAAGGAAGCGGGTGCTGACGGACACGGGTTTTGGTTTTGACGCTGAACAAGTTGTTGGCCCGTCCTTCAGGACCCGCCTGTTCCGTGACGAGGAGGAGGAGGAGAAAAAGGAGGAGGAGCAGGAAGAGGAGGAGGAGGAGGAGTAGGAGGAGGGGAGGAGGAGGAGGAGGAGGAGGAGGAGGAGGAGAGTGAGGACTGTAAATGTCACCAGTGACATCAATGCCATCAGCGCCCAGCGCCCAGGAGGAGGAGGAGGAGGAGGAGGAGGGCTCCGGCCGAGCGTCCGCGGCGCCCAGGACGCGGCCACCGAGACTCAGGGCCAGTGCCGCGCCTGGGTGGACGAGGCGCTCGGGCGCCTGGAGGACCTGGCGCTCAGGACGCGCGCCGACGACGCCGACCCCGACGACCACGTCCGAAGGAGGAGTGGCAAAGCGTGCTGACCTGCCTATAGTATCAAGCAGTGGCGAAGCGTCCCGGCTCGCCTATAGTTCCACCAAAGAATGTTCTAAGAACCATTCGTGGTTTGCACGAAATGTTCTTAGACCATTTCTGGTTGGGACGGTCTTGGTTTAACACATCGGATTCATGTTATGAAGACATTGCTTTTGTTATTCGAACACGTTTGGGTTCTAAGAACGTCTCGTGGTAGGACCATAGGAATTCCGGGACGGTCGGTCCCTGCTCAATAGTAGGGGCTCAGGAGACGGGGGTCAACGTAAACGGGGGTCAGTCAGCTGCATTGACCCAGGTTTGGGCGCAGGATGCTGCGGGATCTTCCAGGATCTTGCGAGGCCTGACTGACCCCGGCCTGGATTGAGCCGGGTCAGTAGATCCCCACCATCGGTTGTAGCTGTCTGAGGGTCTGAGGTGGTCCAGCAATGGTCTTCGGTAAGCAGGAAGGGCGGGCGATGTTCGAGGTTTCGCAGGCGTAGAGGTTGACACCAACACCAATTTCGGCGGTGTGGCTCCACCGAGGGAAGAAGATCCCGATCTCGGTGATGGTGGTAATATGCTGGCTTCCAGGATGGCCGAAACATTACCACCAACACCGATTTCTAGGATCATCTGCACCCTGTGGAGGCAATCCCCTGTGTTGGTGTTGGTGCCCATTTCTAGGCCTCCAAAGGTTGTGGGTTCGGGAAGGCCTTTGGCCTCGTCCGGCCTCCGCGAGTCGTTTTCGGGCCCCAGGGTCAGTAGAAACATATTCAGGGCGACGAACTGCACCAGATGGACGAGGAAAATAAGGAGGAGGTGGAGGAGGAGGAGGAGGAGGAGGAGAAGGAAGGGGAGGCGGAGGAGGAAGGGGAGGAGGAGGAGGAGGAGGAGAAGAAGGAGGAGAAGGAGGAGGAGGAGCCTGAAAGGGGTCCAGGGACAGACTTTGCGCGGATTTGGCTTCATCCCCCCTCCTGACCGATTTTTCATCGTGCCAACATCGCAGAGCGGATTTCGTTCGGAGAACGATAGGGTGGGCCCGGGGTGTCCTGGACAATTTCGTTCCGGATTTCGAGGTGAATTTCGTGCGGAATTTTTGTTGGCCAGGAATGAAGACCAAACAAAAATCCATGCGAAATTGACTTCGTTTTTCGCTCGCCGCTTCGGGGAAAAACAGAAATCCACGCACAAATCCGCTGCAGCACGTCTGCAAGGCCGGTGCAATGACGATTTCTTGGTGTCCCAACCAGTTCAGACCTTAATGGCATCCGGTTCATCCTGTCACCGTGCCTGGGTTGTGGGTTGGAAGCCTACTGGATGGTCGTTGGGATCTCGTGGTGGGGCTGTCGGGGGCCTCTTGGAGGCAGTTTTGAAGCCTCTTGGGGGCTGTTTGTGGGCCTCTGAGGGCCTCTGATAATCTGAGTGCCTCTTTGTGGTTTCGTAGGGGCCTCTTGGGGCCCTTGGGGGCCTCTTGGGGCCTCCCGAGCGCCTCTTGGGGCCTCCTGGGGGCCTCTTGGGGCGGAAGGCTCGGATTTTCGGTTTGTATTCCCTCTCTGGGGCCCTTTTTGGGGGCCGCCTTGGGGACCTTAAGGCTGCCTTAAGAGCCTCTTGGGCCGTCTTGGGGCCGTTTGGGGGCCCTCTTGGAGCCGCCAAGGCCGTCTTGGGGCGATTTTGTGGCCTCTTGGACCGTCTTGGATCGTCAGGGAGCCGAAGGGACGAGAAAACCAAAAACCTTCAACCACCTGAGGCACGTCAACAATTTTTGCCTCCTGGGACCCTCTTGGGAGGCCTCTTGGAGGCCTCTTGGGGCTTCCTGTAGGCCTCTCGGGCCGACTTGGGGCCATCTTGGACGCGACCACTGGGCGCCTCGGGGCCCTCTTGGGCCGTGCTGAGGGCCTCGTGGGGCCCTCCTGGCCCGTCCGAAGGCCCTCGTGGGACCCCGGGCGGCACGTCTTGCGGCCAGGTTGCCAGGAGCCCCCGAGGGGAGGGAGGGGAGGGGGGGGGCGGGGCGGGGCACGCGCGGAGCCCCGGGAGCTGTTGGGAGTGCGGCTCGGGGCCCTCCTCGGGGCCGAGGGGCCCGGGGCTCGGGGGGCGGGGCAGAGACCCGATCTGCACGCACGAGATGGGCACAGAAAGAATGGGTACAATGCCCAACAGCAGTTCCTGTTCATGTTGAACAGGACTCGCTGTCCGCGCCGCCGCGGCCTGTGCCCATTCGAGACAGGAGGCCGCCCGCCCAACAGCGGCTGCTGTTGGTTTGGGACCACATTTGCTGGTGGGCATTGTACCCATTTCTCCCAACCATCCTGTGGTGTTGGGTACTCGTTTTGAAGAGACGTCGCCCCGCGTTCCTCCTCCTTCCTCCTCCTCCCCTTCCTCCCCCCTCCTCCCCCTCCCACACCCATTCTGGCACACCCCTCACACGTTTCGTGGCCCCATAGGGAGCTCCACCGAAGGCCCCAGTGGCTGCGCCCGCATGCGGTTCCACCCCCATTCTGGCACACCCCTCACACGCTTCGTGGCCCCATAGGGAGCTCCACCGAAGGCCCCAGTGGCTGCGCCCGCATGCGGTTCCACCCCCCATTGGCTGGCACACCCCTCACACGTTTCGTGGCCCCATAGGGAGCTCCACCGAAGGCCCCAGTGGCTGCGCCCGCATGCGGTTCCACCCCCCATTCTGGCACACCCCTCACACGTTTCGTGGCCCCATAGGGAGCTCCACCGAAGGCCCCAGTGGCTGCGCCCGCATGCGGTTCCACCCCCCATTCTGGCACACCCCTCACACGTTTCGTGGCCCCATAGGGAGCTCCACCGAAGGCCCCAGTGGCTGCGCCCGCATGCGGTTCCACCCCCCATTCTGGCACACCCCTCACACGTTTCGTGGCCCCATAGGGAGCTCCACCGAAGGCCCCAGTGGCTGCGCCCGCATGCGGTTCCACCCCCCATTCTGGCACACCCCTCACACGTTTCGTGGCCCCATAGGGAGCTCCACCGAAGGCCCCAGTGGCTGCGCCCGCATGCGGTTCCACCCCCCATTCTGGCACACCCCTCACACGTTTCGTGGCCCCATAGGGAGCTCCACCGAAGGCCCCAGTGGCTGCGCCCGCATGCGGTTCCACCCCCCATTCTGGCACACCCCTCACACGTTTCGTGGCCCCATAGGGAGCTCCACCGAAGGCCCCAGTGGCTGCGCCCGCATGCGGTTCCACCCCCCATTCTGGCACACCCCTCACACGTTTCGTGGCCCCATAGGGAGCTCCACCGAAGGCCCCAGTGGCTGCGCCCGCATGCGGTTCCACCCCCCATTCTGGCACACCCCTCACACGTTTCGTGGCCCCATAGGGAGCTCCACCGAAGGCCCCAGTGGCTGCGCCCGCATGCGGTTCCACCCCCCATCTGGCACACCCCTCACACGTTTCGTGGCCCCATAGGGAGCTCCACCGAAGGCCCCAGTGGCTGCGCCCGCATGCGGTTCCACCCCCCTGGCACACCCCTCACACGGTTATGTTGCGGTGTCGCTCCCCACTGTTCCACACCCCAGTCACACGCTTCGTGGGTGGCTCCATGGGGAGCTCCATGCGCTCGCATGCCCCCCCCATTTCGGCACACCCCTCACACGGTTCGTGGCCCCATAGAGAGCTCCACCGAAGGCCCCAGTGGCTGCGCTCGCATGCGGTTCCACCCCCTTTTTCGGCACGCCCTTCACACGTCTCGTGGCCCCATAGGGAGCTCCACCGAACGCCGCAGTGGCTGCGCTCGCATGCGGTTCCACCCCCCATTTCGGCACACCCCTCACACGCTTCGTGGCTCCATAGGGAGCTCCACCGAAGGCCACAGTGGCTGCGCTGGCATGCGGTTCCACACCCCATGTTGGCACACCCCTCTCACGTTTCGTGGCCCCATATGGGGGCTCCACCAAAAGGTCCCAGTGGCACTGCCCGCTTGCGTCCGCCACCACCCAGCACAGCCCTTGTTCCCTGCGCTTCACCCACCCAGAACAGCGCTTCGTAGCCCTATAGGGAGCTCCACCAAAGGTCCCAGCGGCACCGCCCGCATGCGTCCGCCACCACCCTGCGCAGCCTTTGCTCCCTGCCTGCGTTTCACCCACCCAGTACAGCACTTCGTGGCCCCATAGGGAGCTCCACCGAATGTCCCAGTGGCACCGCTCGCTTGCGTCCGCCACCACGCAGCACAGCCCTTGCTGACCGCGTCTCACCCACCCAGTACAGCGTTTCGTGGCCCCATATGGAGCTCCACCGAAGGTCCCAGTGGCACCGCCCGCATGCGTCCGCCACCACCCAGCACAATTGCGGCATTCACAACTGTATATGGTCGGGTCCTTCGCCAGGCTAATTTCGGTACCCATTTCGGGCGTCCAAACCCGAGGCCGCGCCACGCCCACCTCGCGGCCAGCGGCAGGCACGGGGGAGGACAGGCCCGCCAGGCAGTGCTCGAAGAGCTCCGCTGTGGTTTGCACGAATGGTCCGAGCGAGTGCTGTCTGCCGCTGCTGGCAGGGGGGGTTCCCCCCCCCAACGCTTCAAAACCAGGGGGGCTGTTCCGTAACCACCCCCCCTTCCAGGGAAACCGATTCCGGGGGCCAGAACCCCCCCTCCGGGGAAGTTATTCGGGAGCCCAGGGTACGCCCTTGGGGCAACGACGACGACGACGCACGACGCACGACGCACGACCACCACGGCAACGACGACGACGCACGACCACCACGACGACGACGCCGACGACACCGATGACGACAACGACGACACAGACGACGATAACGACGAGCAGTGTAGAGTAGGCGTACAGTAGGGTATGATAAAAGGGCCGAGTCGAGTCGAATAGATACATGTGGGATACGGTACGGTAGAGTAGAGTAGGGTATAGTTGTCTGAGTTGTGTGAGGTGTAGACCATATTAGGATAGAGTCGAGCCGAGTAGAGAAGAGTCTACAGTTAGAGTAAAGCAGAGAGAGTAGAGCAGAGTAGAGTAGAGTAGGGGCATACTCGCGTATATCAGTACAACTTACAGTATCATAGAGTATGTGTGGGTGCGGTAGGGTAGAGAAGAGCAGGGCAGAGTATATTAGAGGAGAGGAGAGGATAATAGTTGAGAGTGGAGAAGGGCAGATAACATGAGTAGAGAAGGGTAGAGTAAGAGCAACGTGGAGTAGAGTAGAGTACGCTTGGGTACGATAGGGTCGAGTAGAGTAGGGTAGAATAGAAAAGGCAGAGTATACTTGAGCAAAGGAACGAGTGTAGAGCAGATAGAGTAGAGTAGGGTCGAATACACTAGGGCCCTAGTGGAAGCTGAGAGAGAGAGTTGGATCGACGCCTACAAGTGTCCTATTAGAGCATACAGCTTGCGCGGGCGCTTGCGACAGGTGCGCCGCCGCTGACGTCGTCGTCGTCGTTGCTGGGGGGGGGCAGGGAGCCCCCCGCATAATTCTCGAGGGGCAGGGGAGGGTGGATCCTGGACCCCCGAATCGTTTTCCTGGGGGGCGGCGGGGGGTCTGGACCCCGGGCCTTCCCGGGGGTGGGAGGGGAGGAGGAGGAGGAGGAGGAGGAGGAGGAGGAGGAGGAGGAGGAGGAGGAGCAGAGGAGCAGGAGGAGGAGGAGGAGGAGGGAGGAGAGGAGGAGGGAGGGAGAGGGAGAGGAGGAGGGAGGAGGAGGAGGGAGAGGGGAAGGATGATGATGATGATGATGATGATGTGATGATGATGATGATGATGATGAGGAGGAGGAGGAGGAGGAGGAGGAGGAGGAGGAGGAGGAGGAGGAGGAGAGGAGGAGAGGAGGGGAGGAGGGAGGAGGGAGGAGGAGAGGGAGGAGGGAGGAGGGAGGAGGGGAGGAGGGGAGGAGGGAGGAGGGAGGGGGTCCACTCCACTCCCCAGTTTCTGGTTTTCCCTTTTGAGGTTTTTTGTCGTTGGGGGGGGGGGCCCTGGTTCCTGCTTCCCCTTCTGGACAAGTTGTTCGGGCCGGTGACGGTGGATCGTGCTCCCCCCGACGTTCTTACAGCATTTCTGGCTGAGACCATCTTGGTCAGACCCATCGGAGATGTGCTCTGAGGTCAGTGTTCACGTCCCCAGAGAGTGTTCTGATGTTCGACTTGGCATCGCTCGGACGTGTGCATTTTTCCGTCGGCGAGTACCATCGAGGAGCATCCTTGATCATTTCGCGAAAAAACCACGCACGAAACCGAAACAACACAGGAAATGGACGTCCGAACGATGGCCAGTCGAAGACCATGACGTGGCAGGCTGATAGGCATGCCTGGACGGTCGGTCCCCTTCAAGTTGTCTGTCACGAGAACGTCGTTGACGATTCGGCCGACGGCGGCGTCAAGGACTCCGGCGAGCACGACGCCGACGTCGACGTCGAAGGTGTCGCATGCGACGGCGACATGAACCCTGGCGTCGCCGACAGCGACGTCGGCGGCGTCGGATTCGATGTTGGCGTCGTCGAAGACGACGACGCCGACGACGACGACGACGTCGCCAGACCACGACGACTTCGACGACCACGGCGTCGACGACGGCCGCGGGAGGAAAAGGAGTAGCGCGGCGTGGTTGTGATGCCTGTTGGCTCTCTCTGGCCTCCTGGGGATGGCCCTCGTCGCCATGGTTGGGCCCGTCCAGGAGTCCTGGTCAGAACAGTCTCCAGGACAAGACGGGGAGCCGTTGTGGAGGGAGGAGGATGACGGCGACATCGACGACTGACGACCAAGCTTACGGTGACTCCGACGCCGACGTTCTGTCATTTCAGTCCTCATAACCTTGTCCCTCGAGGTTCCTTTTTGCATAGCCCCACGAGTTGGGCCCCATTGCCAGCGTTCACAGTGAGCTGTACAGACGCTGATGTTGCTCAAGTCTCCAGACTCCCACGAGGAGGAGGAGGAGGATCCCCGCTTAGCCTCCCGCTCTCTTCCAGCCCCCAGCTGCCCACCGTCCGATCCAGGCATCCGCCCACAGTTTGTTGACACTGTCGGTGGCTGCGGCCACGACGGTCACCACCCACCAATCCAGTCCCACCCAAGCCGAAGGCTCCGATTTGCGCTCCATGCCCAGGGGGAGGGGGGGACGCGTCGGGGAACACTGCAGAAACAAATGCAGAGCCCGTTCCCCCCCGCAACCCGAAAGTTGGGCCCTCGGGTTGGCTTGGGGGATGGCCTGGTGGGTGGTCGGGCGACGGCGCGCGCGCGCCTCAGGATGCGCGAGAGATTCTCCGCGGTCACGGCGGACATCCACGCCGGGCGCGAGCAGGTCGTGCAGGACGTCATGGCGAGCGTCGGGGCCCGCATGGAGGAGGAGCTCGCCCCGATCGGCCGCCGCTTCCAGAAGGTCTCCGAGAAGCTCGCCGACTGCAGCGAGGCTCACCGGGGGCTGCACGTCGGCACCGATGCGGCAGCTCCGTGTCGTGCCGACGCGGCGGCGGCGCCAGCGCGGGCGTTCGAGATCGACCGCCGCCACCGGCCCAGGCTCGGCCGGGTACCGAGCGAAGTGCGCCATCGGGGCGCCGTAAAACGACGCGAAGATCGGTACAAAATCGGAGCGGGATAGCTCGAAATCTCTGAGGATCGGCGGCTTTGGAGGATGCATTGGGCGCCGCGGCCGCTCCAGAGCGTTCCGGAACGCTCTGAGAGTGCTCCGGAACGCTCTGGAGCGATCTATCCCGATCCTAGCCCTATTTTACGCCGCGACCGTTCAGGGTTGAGCGATCCGCGCGGCGTCAGGATCGGCGGGCCCCGAGCAGTCCACGGGTGGAGCGAGCCACGCGCAGGTCGTCGCGGCGCAATGCTTCCCAGAGGGGCCCGCCCTCCGAGGGGAGAAGAGGCCGTCAGCGAAGAGGCGACCTGGAATCTCGGGCCCGGCCCACCCCTGCTGCCACGAGCGAGGGGGAGGAGGAGGTCAGAGCCCCAAAGTCATCAGGGATAACTCGGGTCAGGGCTAACTCGGGTTCGCTTTTCAGGATCCCGAACCCGAGTTACCCCGGACCCGAGTTCCCCCGGATCATTCGGGCGTCCAGAGCCCCAAAATCATCAGGGATAACTCGGGTCAGGGCTAACTCGGGTTCGTCTTACGGGATTCCGAACCCGAGTTACCCCGGACCCGAGTTACCCCGGATCATTCGGGCGCCCAATGAGGGGGAGGCAGGGTGGGCGGAGGAAAGGAGGGACACAACAGCTCCCATCTGCCAGGCGGTTGGGTCGTCATGATACGAACCTGCCGTGCCGATGCCGATGCTCTTCTCTCCTGACCGGGCATCCCCGGACTTGCCTCGGAGGCCTGGTCAGAGTGCTTCCCAGGATCGGGGAAACGTAAGACTCGAGTAAGCTGGAACTCGGTTCTGCCGACTTTTTTGACGAGCGCGTCTGGAATTTTGACGGTCCCGTGTTCATGGGATGCTTGCAGCGGGAGCCCGCGTCAAATTTCACGTTGGGTCTCGACATTTTGATGATGGCCCCCGTCAAGCCAACCCGAGTCCTCCGTACCCGAGTCTTACCTCTCCCCGACAGGAGAAGTTAATGTCTGGGGTGGACAGAACCCCCAACAGTGACACGTCGATTCGTGAATTGTCCGTTTTCGGTTCTCGAGATGGCGCCGTGGCCGTTATGTTCCAGGCTTGCGCCCGCCAGGTTTGGGCCTCGGGTCGTTTTCACTAAACCACGTGTTACTAAAGGGGGGCCTGTCCATCCCCGACAGGACAAGTTCACGGAGCACGTAGTGGATACCGCTGCGGCTGCTCCCCAGGCCTCTCCACCAAGTTCGATCTGACCAGGATTCCGAGGAGAGCCCAGCCGTGGCGATAGGGGGCTCCACGGGAGACCCCGAGAGGACCAAAACGGGGGGAGGGCATCGGGGTCGGTAGATCTGTGATCCCTCCGAGGCGGCGCGAGAGGGACCTCCTGGCCTGACCGACCGCCTGTGCAAGGTGCAGAGGGCGCCATACGTGACACCTACACCTATCGGAGTGTGTGTGTGTGTGTGTGTGCGTGTATGCGTGTGTGCGTGTGTGCGTGTGTGTGTCTGTGTGTGTGTGAGTGTGAGTGTGAGTGTGAGTGTGAGTATGAGTGTGAGTGTGAGTGTGAGTGTGAGTGTGAGTGTGAGTGTGAGTGTGAGTGTGAGTGTGTGAGTGTGAGTGTGAGTGTGGGTGTGAGTGTGAGTGTGAGTGTGAGTGTGGGTGTGAGTGTGAGTGTGAGTGTGGGTGTGAGTGTGAGTGTGAGTGTGAGTGTGGGTGTGAGTGTGAGTGTGGGTGTGGGTGTGGGTGTGCGTGTGCGTGTGCGTGTGCGTGTGCGTGTGCGTGTGCGTGTGCGTGTGCGTGTGCGTGTGCGTGTGCGTGTGCGTGTGCGTGTGCGTGTGCGTGTGCGTGTGCGTGTGCGTGTGCGTGTGCGTGTGCGTGTGCGTGTGCGTGTGCGTGTGCGTGTGCGTGTGCGTGTGCGTGTGCGTGTGCGTGTGCGTGTGCGTGTGCGTGTGCGTGTGCGTGTGCGTGTGCGTGTGCGTGTGCGTGTGCGTGTGCGTGTGCGTGTGCGTGTGCGTGTGCGTGTGCGTGTGCGTGTGCGTGTGCGTGTGCGTGTGCGTGTGCGTTGTGCGTGTGCGTGTGCGTGTGCGTGTGCGTGTGCGTGTGCGTGTGCGTGTGCGTGTGCGTGTGCGTGTGCGTGTGCGTGTGCGTGTGCGTGTGCGTGTGCGTGTGCGTGTGCGTGTGCGTGTGCGTGTGCGTGTGCGTGTGCGTGTGGGTGTGGGTGTGGGTGTGGGTGGGTGTGGGTGTGTGTGTGTGTGTGGGTGTGCGTGTGCGTGTGCGTGTGCGTGTGCGTGTGCGTGTGCGTGTGCGTGTGCGTGTGCGTGTGCGTGTGCGTGTGCGTGTGCGTGTGCGTGTGCGTGTGCGTGTGCGTGTGCGTGTGCGTGTGCGTGTGCGTGTGCGTGTGCGTGTGCTTGTGCTTGTGCTTGTGCTTGTGCTTGTGCTTGTGCTTGTGCGTGTGCTTGTGCTTGTGCTTGTGCTTGTTCGTGTGCGTGTGCGTGGGCTTGTGCTTACGTTTGTGCGTGTGCGCGTGCGTAAGGCGTGTGCGTGTGCGTGTGCTTGTGCTTATGTTTGTGCTTGTGTTTGTGTTTGTGCTTGTTTCTGTGCGTGTGCGTGTGCTGGTGCTTGTGCTTGTGCTGGTGATGGTGCTTGTGCTTGTGCGTGTGCTTGTGCTTGTGCTTGTG